TGAGGGGAGGCCTCGCAGGGGCCTTGAGCGTTTGGAAGGAGTGAGGTTTGGTTGTGTGTGTTTGGCACTCAGGTGTGTGAATGTAACACAGATGTATGTGTAGACACTTTCAGGGAAACTCCCTAGGGACAGATGGACATATCGCCACAGAGTTCTGCTTTTCCCAGGGACCCACACACCCCTCCTCACCTCCTTGGTCTTTGCTTTTTTTTTGGTACTGGAGATTGAATTCAGGACCTTGCACTTGCCAGGCAGGTGCTTATGCCACTGAGCTAGTTCCCTGGCCCCAGGTCTTTGCTTTCTCATCACCTTGCCGTGGGATTTCTCAGCCCCATATCTACAGTGGCATCAGAGACCCCCTCTCCCTCATCCTCTCCTCAAATGGATCTCTTTCTGTGGAGCTCAGCTGCGACCCACTGATCTTGCTTCAGGGCTGTTTCTGGCTCTCTGATGGGCAGGTGAGCACTAGGCCCACAAGAACCGGTGCTATGCTACAGTGGGTGCGCAGGAGGCATGCATGGGGGACCCTGGCAAGGGGTTCTGACTGGGGGCTGCATGCAGGGATCCCAGTTTGGGGCAGAGGGACTTAGACAGGCCCCTGTTCTTGCTCTGGACAGCAGCGTGGACCTCTGATCAGCCAAGTCTTCTGATCTTTTCTTGCAGTTGAAGTGGGCTTCACAGCAGGAGGGGATTCTGTGGTTCCCAGCTGTGAGGGCCTCAGGGGTCCCGACCAGGGCCTCCCAGGCAAGCAGAAGGGCAGCAGACAGGAGCAGGGTCTCACTGGGAACCAGTCTGTCTGGTTCCGATGGGCAAGTGGACCTTCCTTGTTTTGGAGCAGAAGTAGAGGCCGCTCCCTGGGCACGGGGCCAGGCAGCATAACCCAGAGGAACTCTAGAAATTCCCCCAGCTTATCTGTGCCTCATCTCTGCCGCCTGCCTTTGTCCATCTGGAGAACAGGGGTGGGGCTGGAGGCAGGGCAGGGCTGGCAAGGACGAGGTGAGCTCTCGGAGCCCGCTGCAGTGTCCTGGATTTTACACGTCACTCAGAATGCACAGTATCAAGGCTCCAGGGAGGGACAGACCTGGGTTTCAGTCCTGCCCTGCCTTTTACCCACGGTAGGCACATCTCCTTCTGAGTGTCTGTTCGGAAAGGGGGAGTTACAAAAGGGAAACTCGTGAGAGGGCCCTGGGGAGCAGAGTCCCTGCCCCATGCTGGTGCAGAACAGGAGGCACTAAGCGCCCAGTTCCTGTGACAACGCCTGTGAGTAACAGCACAAGGGCCTGCCAGGCAGACACAAGCATAAACATGGATCCATCATCTCTCCATTTTCAGTTCACTGAATTTTCTTTTTTAATTTCATATTCTTTATGGTGCACAGTCATTACTTGCCCCAACAGCCATCTGAAGCCAATAGTCCAGGTTATTAAAAATCACAAAGTTGTATAAGTGTTCTCCTCCTTTCCAGAAACCATGTTCCTTTTCTGTCCATGAAATGGGGCTGTCTGCAAAGCCTTGCACTGACAACGTAACCCATGGGGCTAACTTTGGCTCATCAAAGTAGTGGCACAGCTGTTCCAGGAGAACACAGATCTTCTCTGGGAGTATGAAATCAGTGGCTGTACACAGATAAGCCTTTGTCATCACTGTGCTTGGCTGGGGACAGCAATAGGTTGATATGAAGTTATTAGGCTCATTATTTAGTTCCACGTCACAAGACGGCGCCAAGCCAGTCGAAGAGCTCTGGAGCGCTGCAGGGCCCCTCTGGCTCTTTGTGGAGCTTGCTGCTCCACAGCTCTGGGCACTGCAGATTTCTCAGTGTGCTCACTGTCACTCTGGGCTGCCACTCTTGAATCTGGTGTTTCAAAAAGTATGACATCAGCGTCAACTCTTCTGTACCTGTCTGATGCCAAGCCAAGAGAAAAGCAAATTTCAATGGCTTTTTTTTTTTCCCTAGTGCCAAGATGCTCTTTCATACTTCTTGGAATCCAGGTTAAAGGATAAATCCATCAAATCAGTGGAAACAATAAATTTCATAATTTTCCCGCCAGAATACTGAGATGGATGACCTTGAAGTCCAGTTTCTTCATTAAGTGTCTTTATCTAGTGATAGTTAATTTCGCATTTGGTAGTAGTGCAACAGTGTTACGTTCATCAGTGTTTGTATTGAATGTCAGTGCACAGCATGAACCTTTCTTCACAAAGGTGTTGATGAATTCACATGTAATTAACTCATGAAGAGATAAGTTCTTCACAAAGTAATAGGGTCCCATTTCCATAACCAGGTTTTTCAGTTTTTTTCTATAGTAACCCACATTCTGGAATTAGGAAAGAAACCTTGTAATATGGTAGTGCGTCTCTGTGCGATGCTGGTGGTGTGACTTGCTGTGGTTGAAGTTGGATTTCTCGCAGACTAGTAAGTGCTAGGGCGTCTCTCCCAGTCTGCACAGCATGGCCATGCTTGTGGTGATTCTGTGTGTCCCGCCCCTCCGCCAGCCAGTTCACTGAATTTTCTGACTTCCTTTCAGATGGCTGGAAATAGGCAGCACATGGCAGCGGCCCAAGGAACTTGCTGGGGAATAAAGGCCAGTTGCTTGTCCTTGATATGCCTGGATCTTACCTGGAGAAGGGGCTGAGCATGTTATTTCAGAGTATTTATTTGTTCTCTCAAGACATAACCTTGCTGGGTATGGTGGCACCCCTGTCATCCCAGCACTTGGGAGGCTGAGGCAAGAGGACTGCTATGAGTTCTGGACTACATAGTGAGACCTGGTCTTAAAACCAAACAAGAACGTACCTGTACCCAGCATCTTGGCCTCGCTGATGTGTCTCAGGCCAGGTGACCTAGGGATGGCTGGGACAGTGTGGGAGCCTGTTCTAAGGTATTCTTCCCTGGTTCTCTCTCTAGCCTGTAGCTGTTATGTGAAGCAGGTCCCTGGGCACTGATGGCCTGCCTGTGAGGTCAGCTGTGGGCATAGGTGGACCGAAGCTGGTGGGGTACATGGTGAGGCGGGGCTCCCCCAGCATGGGACAGCAGTGCAGAGCCCTGGGGGGCCACCTGTCCCCAGCCTCCCACTTCAGGCTGAAGCCCATCCTTGAGTGCTTAGGGGATGAGGCCAAAAGTCGCGTCCACATTGCTCTTTGCGGGGCTAGGCTTGTTCCATAGGTGCGGACAGAGAGCATGAGTTCCTAGCACGTATGCACTAAGCCTGTCACATGTGCTGGGCAACATCAGGCAGGCGGCTGCCGCAGTGAGCAAATCACAACTTCTCAGGCCTGGGGCCTAGCAGGAAACCTTCTGGAGCTTCCCAGGTGGAGTCCCCTGAAAGGAAGGTACTTTGCTGTTACCACACAACATGGCGAGGACTTGACCACCAGGCCCAGGGTTCACTTGCCCCTTTGCTGGTGGGCCACACCGCCTGAGAGAAGGGGGAGGGAGAGGAGGAAGCAAGCTTGTCAGGGCTGCGGAACTCCTGGGCAGCTCAGGTGCTGGCCATTTGTGTCCTGAGCCCACATGTGTCAGGCTGTGCTCTGATATTCACCCTCAGGCCTGCCCTGCTCCGCAGCGTATGGTCTGGGGGCTCATACACTGCTTAGCTTGTGCAAGTGGCTAAATGGCCAGAGGTGTGCGTTGCTTCTAAGTCTCTTCCCTCTGGTTGGGTGCATGGCTCGGCCCTAGGCTGCTGCCACAGCCTGTCTGTAGGCCATTCAGGGAAGAAGACAGCCCTTCCCCTTCTGTGCGCCTTGATTGGCAGAGGAATCTTTCTCCAGAGCCTGGTGGTAGACTCTCCTGTCCTCACCGTGGTCAAGGACTCTGGAGAAAGGAGGACATCCTAGCCAGGATGCTTGGTCAGCAGGGAAGGGGTAGGGAGGCCTAGGGTGGCCACTGCTGTCTAGCCCGTCTGAGTTCCTGGCCTTGCCCTGGAGCAGGTCCCTTACAGTCTGCCAGGCCCCAGGTAGCCCCATGAGGGCCGCCCACCAAGTTGCCCATGAAGAATTCCTGTGGCCCAAGGCTGGGGCTTGTGCAGTTCAGCACACCTAGCCTCTTCTGGAATAAGCGCCAACACTTCCATTGTTCCGATCATGCCACATGATCTTTAAGGAGCCCCTTGATGTGGGTGTGGCCACTGAACTCTTCACAAAAGCCATCAAAGCTCAGGCCACACCAGAGGAAAGGGGAGGAGTGTAAGCCAGGCATTGGCCGCACCCCGGATGGGCATGGGTCCCTTGGCTTGTTGGAGGTCTGGTTTGCCTGTAAGATGATTGCTGACAGCTGGAGAAGGGACGTGGGACTCTCAGGAGTCAGGTGGAAGGTCACTGGAAGGGCCTGGTGATGTTCACCATGGGGACCAGCGGAGAGGAAAACACACAGACTGTTCTTTTCCCCTTTGTGTGAGTGTGACAGGCCATCTCTCTAGGGCCTGCTGGTGACTTGATTGTCCCTTCAGAGTTTTTGTGCCAGGCCCTGGCAGGGCCTGGGCCCTGTAGTGGGTGTAATGGCACAGCCATGGTCCTGCCTTCAGGAGCTCAGTCAAGGAAGAAACACTGTGATGTTTCCCGGGTGATGGGTTCCTGGGGCTCCGTGCGCACAGAAATGGGGTCTGAACCCTCTCCTGCAGGAACACAGGTGTCTTGGAACAGATATTACCTTAACTAAGAGAGACCCTGTGCTGTACAGCGCAGTGGAGATGAAAAAGAGGGGCATCACACCCCTGTAATCCCAGCACTCAAGAGGCTGAGGCGGGATGATCACCATATGGATTGAGCTTGCTGTGGACCCCATAGTGAGATCAGGACCAGCCTGGCTTATATGGCAAGACCCTGCCTCAAAACACAAAAATAAACCAACAAAAGTAAGAGGGACCAGGTAGGGGCCCTAGCACAAAAATATACATCAGGAGGCAAGTCAGTATTTCTTGACTAAATGAGAAATGAGGCCAAGGCCTGGGGCCTGATCTGTTGCCTCCAGTGAGTGGGACTCTGGCCGGGTCTCGTCCCTCCAGGTGCTGGGGCTGCTGGTGTGGGCCCTGATTGCTGACACCCCGTACCACCTGTACCCAGCCTATGGCTGGGTGATGTTTGTTGCTGTCTTCCTCTGGCTGGTGACAATCATCTTCTTCACCATCTACCTGTTCCAGCTGCACATGAAGTTGTACATGGTGCCCTGGCCCTTGGTGGTGAGTATGGGGGTGGGGCAAGGACTGGGATGGCCCCAGGCTGCTCCCTCTGGCCTCTGGAAGTGGCTGTGACAGGACCACTGTGACCTTCCCCAGATGGGCGAAGTGGCAGGTGGGGGTGAGGTAGTGAAGTCCTTGCTTGCCCTCAGCTGGCCTGTGGGCTGAGGCTTGATAGGACAGGGGGTGTGGTTTTCTGAGAGCCCTGCTTCACTTTGTCCGGGAAGGGGTGGATTCCCAAGAGGCCATTTGACATCTTGAACTTCTATTTCCTTTTCGAGTGTGGTATAATTTGAGTGGGTTGTATAGGCAGAGGAACCTGGCTGGACCCCACAGGTAGCTGGAGGATGAGGCCAGGCCTGCACAGGAAGGCGCAGACACCCTCCCAGGGGCCCTGCAGTCCAGAAGAGGACTTGGGGTCAGGGTTTGCCCATGTCACTCTCCTTGGGAGACACAGGATTAAGAGGAGGATAGAAAGTACTCTGGCCAGACATAGAGAAAGCTGCTGTTTTTTTTTTTTTCTCTGACCCGGAAAACCCCTGCAGCTGTCCAGCTTTTCAGTGAGCAGAGAGGCACGTGATTGTAAGACCAGCTAAGCTGGGACTAGGCAGCATTGTTTGTAATTCAATGACTTTTTAAGCAGAGGAAACGTGAGTCATCCTCAAGACAGAATGGGCTTGTTAGATCTTGACATCACTGCGGGAGCCAGGCAGGGTGTGCAGTAGTGGCTGGGCATGGGGGGACAATTTGGAGGTGAGGAGCTGGCGGCCTGAATTCCAGGCTGAGGCTCCAGCCCCCTGTCCCATGTCCCCAGAGCCTCTAAGGAGGAGCTGAGGAGCTGGCACAGATATGGGCTCCTCTGCAGCTGTGGGTGGAAGGAGGCTGCAATCCTCTGGGCCCCAAGGGTGAGCACTGTTTCTGTGCTCCGGGGGCCTTTAACAGATGGGGAGGGAGGACTGAACTGCAGGCACAGAAGGCTGGGCTGGATGGGCCCAGGCAAGACAGGTGAGGAAGGACAGGAGGGTTCCAGAAAACCCAGCACGCGCTGGTCCAGAGGGAGCTGCCTCTACTCAGCTCCACCTGTTGCCTGTGGGACTGCAGGCCCCTTGGTGCCAAGTCTTGTTTTTGTTTTTTCTTCTTTGCAGTGCTGGGGTGAGGAGATGGAACCCATGCCCTTGTGCATGCTAGACTACTACCCCCAGCCCTCTAAGAATTTTTAATACATTTATATGGAATTTTCAAATTCACATATGGAATATAATTTTAAAATATTGGCAATTCACAAGGTCTCCATGGACAAACCAAATGTTTGAGGGTCACCAGTTTGAAGAGTTAACTGGCTCCAGGGGACCCTCGTGTGGAAGGGAGGGGCTCAGCTGTTGGCTGAGGGTTTCTCCTTGCCAATTGGCCTCAACATCCTGCTAGAAGCATCTGGGTCCTCTGAGGTCCTGAGCCTGGGATCTTAAGTCTAAGATGGAGCCAAAAGGGAGCCCTAGATTCCTTCCCCGAAGGCAGAGATGTGAGGCCTCACCTCCAGGACTAGCCACTCTGCCAGTGAGGACACAGGTGCCCTGGGCCACATATGAACGATGGACCCATATTTCTGTTCTTTGCCTGTATTTACGGTACAGGCAAAGAAATGGATTGTGGCTGGGTGTAATAATCCATGCCAATAATCTCAGTGATACGGGAGGCAGAGGCAGGTGGGTTGCAAGCTCAAGCCCAGCCCTGGCCATTTAGCAAGACTGTCTCAAGTATGAGACCCTGGGTTCACTGCAAAATGAAGTAAAAATAAAACAGAATGGTCATGGATTAGGCAGTTGCTTTGTGAATTACCACCACCATGACCTGGTCACTTCAGGGACTTCTGTCATCTCTCATCTGTAGCCTTGCTCCCTACTCAGGTGGCCTTTGGCTGCCTCTGTGGGGACTGCTGCCTTGAGCCCCTTCTAATGGGAAAGATTGAACTGCTTCTGTTTCTCTCCCTTGGCTCCTAAAGGGTGTCATGGTTCCCAAAATTGTTAGGGTCACTTTACGCTACCTTTTCTTCCTGCCCACCAGTTCATGATCTTTAATGTCACCGCCACGGTTCTCTACGTCACGGCCTTCATCACCTGCTCTGCAGCAGTGAACCAGACATCCCTGAAGGGCTCCCGACAGTATAACCAGCACTCGGCTGCCTCTGTGAGTAGATCCCTCAGAGCCATGTCAGGGTCCCTGACTATGAACTCCTGCCCTTTTGGTCTGAGGCCAGGCACCAGAAACCTTTTCAGTGGTCACCAGACCATCTCTCAGCAGGTAGCCAAGCTGTTCTCAGCCTTCCTTAATGCTGAACAAAACCTGGAGAGCTGGGTGTGCAGCATATGCCTGTAATCCCAGCACTTGGGAGGCTGAGGCAAGAGAATCGCTGCAGTTTGAGGCCAGCCTGGGCTACATGGTGAGTTCAAGCCACCCTCAACTACATAGCGAGACTCTGTCTCAAGAACCACCAAACCAAATAAGCCCAAAATCTGGAGGAGTGAGGGAATAGTGTGCAGCCATTAGAGGTTTGCATTAACAAGAACTGCTGAAAATTGGTTTGCCACACTGATTAGTGTCAATGCTCCCTTGAACAGTGTTAATAACTGTGGACCCTCCCCCTTTGACAAGTGTACATTGAAAAAGCTTTGGGTTTAGAAAATGTCTTAGGATTTCCACACCCTCCTATGAAGCCCCTATCAAGTGACCAGTAGTGTCTTTGGTATCCTCCAGACCTGTCATGCTTCACTTTGCAAGGCCCTGCACACCTTCCTCTGAGGAAGGAACCTCCAGCTCAGAGGGGTGAAGGAACATGTCTGGGGGCATGGTCATGTCCATGATAGGACAGCCCTTATGTGGCTTGCAAATCAGTGAACTCAGTCACAGGACCAAAAATGTGGAACTTCTGAATGCAGATACAGGTGCAAGTATAATGGCATGAACTGGTTCTGGAAAATTCCAGGGTGGCTTTTGTTTGTAATGCTGGGGACCAAACCCAGAGCCTTGTGTGAGCTGGGCAAGTACTGTACCACCAAGCTGCACCCAAACCCTGAATGTCACTTTAAAAGCTGAGTCCTTGCTAGGTGTCTAAAGTAGGACCTAGTCCACAGGCACTCCTTTCACTGTCATTTGGTATTCTTGGCTGCCCCTGGTGCTACCAGACATCCCTGGCCTAGGTGGATCTAATTCACACACACTGGGATGAAAGTGGACATCCACAGAACTGCAGCAAGCAGCTACCAGTAAGGAGGGCATGGGAGGGTGCTGAACAGCTTGTCCTAGTTGATGGAGGGGTGGTGCCTTGGGTTTTACTATGAGGCCCACCTAGCTGTCCTTGCATCTGCCCAGTACTATGTCCGACTGTGTCTATGCTGACCGCATCAACATCCCCTTCCCCAGTTCTTCGCCTGTCTGGTGATGATCGCCTATGGAGTGAGCACATTCTTCAGCTTCCAGGCCTGGCGAGGAGTGGGCAGCAACGCGGCCACCAGTCAGATGGCTGGCGGCTACGCCTAAAGCACCTGTGTCGTGGCCCACCCCGGGGCTGAAAGGACCGAAGCTGCCACTGGGTCACAGCACAGGGGCCTGTGAGCCTGAGGCAGAGCCCTGTGTGGAGCCATCTGGGTGGGGCTGTACCTGCTCCCCTCCTGCTCTCCTAGATCGACTAAGGACACAGACCTAAAGTGGCTGCAATGGCTGGCAAGGGCCAACAGCTGCAACCTCTTCCCCAGCCCCTTCTTCAGCAGGTGATGGGGGATGTGGGGCTTCAGAGGATTTCAGCATCCAAAGCCTGGGGCCCAACCTTCTCACCAGCACTAAACACACTAACGAAGACTCAGCCCTGTGACTGTCACACCCTAGTATGAGCCTAACACACCACTCAGACTTAATCTGTCTTTGTTCCAGGAGAGCTGAGTGAGCACATAAACTGTCCTTTCCCCCGCCCCCCAGCCAGCCTGTCACCTTTGGGTTAAAGTTTATTGGAAGATAGGATTTCAGATATCCTGGTTATTTAACAAATCGGTTTTAAGCACCCTCTGAGGTCAAACCTCTCTGGGTCCTCCTTCCTCAGCCAGTTCCTGATTTGGAATATTCCCTTTGGGAAAAGCCAACATCAATGGGATTGCTTCCCCCTCGCTGTTGATTAGTCACATGGGACATGGAGGGAGGGAAGCAGGGCTCTGCCTGGTGAGCTGTCTGTTGGTCGTGAATTTATTGTACTTTTTTTATTTTTACAAAAATAAAGATGGAAGAACTCATTTGGAAAATATGTGAGGAATCACAGTTGCTGAGCTGTGTGAACTCCAGGAAGCTACTTAAGGATAAGACCATGCAAAGACCATCTCAGGGCAGCTCATGCTGTGGGGTCACTCAGTGCCACCAGCCAGGCCTGAGGGGGGCCACCCACACTTCTGCCTGCTTTGCTGTAACAGTCCAAGGTTCTGTGCTTATCCAGGTTCAAAGGCACCTCCTTTTATTTCTAAGTGTCCTGGGGCTGGAGCTCCGTGGCACAATGCCTGCTATGCAGGAGGCCCTGGGTTCAGTCCCCAGCACTGCACTGTAAGCGAACAAACACAAAAGGGGTTCCTCGGTTAAGAATACCTAGTTACCCTGGCTTTGTCAGGCAAGTTAGGTGATCTTATAGGGACAGGATTTCAATGTCACCTATTTTAAAAATTTGTGAAGGTCAGGATAAAAGCAAAGCAGCCACAAGATTTTTGGAGCTGGCAGACGCTGCAGCGCTCCTCCTCTTAGTTCTCTAAGACCATAGGCAAATCCCCCCTGAACAGTAAGCCCAAGGCATTTCAAGGTATCCTGTGATCTTTTCCAGGAAGAGGACAGGGTCTTGCTGTCTAGTTTAGGCTGGCCTCACTCTCATGGCAATCCTCCTGCCTCAGCCACCCAAGGTGCTGAGATTACAGGCCGGCACCACTGGGCACAGCTCTGGACTTTCTAACTGGCCACAATTAAAAAAGACTGAGTCAAACAGCTGTGAGGGATGGGGATCACGTGCAGTATCCACGTTCCAGTTTATGCTCAGTGTCCTGATATATTAATAGAATCTCTTTACTTTGAAGTATTTGGGTTTGAGTAATAAATTTTAGTCATTTCAGGATTATGCTGGAAAAAGTGTCTGGTTTTAAGGGCAACCTAATTGGAGGCTTAAAAAAAATCAAAATCTTAGGTAAGCTAGGGTCCACCTGGTTTTCTGACACCTAATGTGGCCTATTTCAGGGCAGACAGTATAGACTGTAGCTCTTACCTCCTGCTTCCCAGAGGTGGGGCGGCCTCCTAGTTTGGGCCTTAATGTTCCTCTGCTCAGGCCATCCCTTAGTCCCATCAGAGGAAGTGCATGGCACTTCAGTCTTAGTCAACAGACAACAAAGAGATGAACTTTTAGTTTAAGAGAAAACTCTGTAATCCTAACTATTGGGGAAACTGAGGTAGCGGGGTGGCAAATCAGAGAGCAGCCTGGCAAGATGCTCTCAAAATAAGACTGAAAAGGGGTGGGGATGCAGCTCAGTGGTAGAGGGCTTATCCACAGGTCAACTCTCAGCATAGGGGGACAGCACACCAGAAAGCCTGCTTATAATATTAAACTATACAACAGACTTTTTCCTTCCTTTTTTTTCTTTAAGACAGGGTCTGGCTACATAGTCTAGGCTGGCCTCAATGAACTCATTATGTAGCCCAAGCTGGTCTTGAACTTGCAGCACTCTTGTTGTCTCATTTTCCCAAATGCTGAGATTACAGGCTGTTTTTCTGTGTAGAAAAGGTGAAAAGGATAGCCTTTCTTGTTGTTCTTTCTCCATTATTTTATCTCTGGCCTTGCTGCTTGCCTTTTCTCAGCCAGGCAGCCTGATCAACAGCTCTGACCACCTGCTGCTCCCGCATCGGCTGTGATGGGCGCTTCTACTTACAAGGAGCAGGATGACAGGCACAGGAGAGGGGGCATGGACAAAGCTACCTCAGAGAGTGTCTTGGGTTCGGGAGGACCAAAGCAGTACAGCTGTCATGGTGGCTACATTAAGGAGCAGGGATGACTCGATCAGAGTGACGCTTCTTGCAAAACACCTCAAATTTTACTCATAGTACAAAAGTAAGCAACGTGTTAGTACAGATAAACACATAGCTTATAGCTTATCCTTTAAAACCAGAAGCGCCAAGTGAAGTGAAAAGAAGCACAGATTCTCATTGTCACTATAAAAACTGAAATCAAAATTACACACGAGGAATTGAACTGTTTTTTCTTCTTTGTAAAGATGTGATTTGTTTCCAGGTCGGTAATGGTCTACCAAACACTGTTACGTGAGAGCTGAAAGGTGGCCAATAGTGGCCACCGGCCCCATGCATGCTGAGCCAGACAGGGGGCACCACGTTGGCGGGAGAGGTTTGGACAGGAAGAAGAGACTGCAGTCTCTACTACACCAGAAAGCCACCAAGTGGCTTGTATGGAAAAGACTTAAGCGTGCAGAAACACAGTTAACATGCTTTGACAGGAGAGCGGCATGACTTTACTATGACAGCAGGATAGCTTTAGTCTTTGCAGCACACGCATCCACGCCAGTGTAGAAAGCATTTTTGCCTTCACAGCACTGACCACTACGAGCACACAGCATATAATACTTTGATCTTTAAGTGGGTAATCATGGAAGTTCCAAGATCATATCCACTAGGTTAGCCTGAGTAGTCACCTATAAAAATATTTTCTTGAAAATAATGTTTAAAAAGAGACTTCTAGAAACAGGGAGACTGTGTCAGAACCAGCAGAAGATGGTGTTACAAGGACTGACGGGAGATGGAGTGGATGTTCAGTGGAGCTTTCAGGTAAAGGCCATCTCTAGCTTCCTCCAGCCAGGATAGGGGTCACAGGAGATTCTGAGATCTCAGGCCTGGCGGCTGGCTCATCTGAGTGACTTCCTGGATTAATACTCCCTAACAGAATCCCCACTGAAGCTGAGGGACTGAAATGCTGACGTATGTAAAAAAGAGCTCTGAGTACACAAAAGGACTCATGCAAAGCCTGTGGGGACAGAGGCTGGTAACAGTGGGCTCCTGCACACTGCTGACAGCCACATTGGCATGCATGGTGGAAACGCTGGGGATGGAGCCTGGTTCAGAAGCACCTGAGCGAACCACCCACAGGGCAGAGCACTAGGGTTACTGAATGCAGGAAGGTGTTTCAGAAGAAATGGGGCCAGGAGGGTCAGGTCATGCTTTGGACCCATCAATACTTAACATGAATGAAGGGCTGCAGAACAGTTCAGTCTTTCCAAGACATACTCTTCTGTTGTTGTCATCATCAGCCAAACTCTCTCTGAGACTACTAAGCTGGTGACATCCAGAATGATCCCATTCGTGACCTAGTGCCGCAGATTGTTCTGGGAAGCTGGGATAGTAGAGGATTTGCACAATGATGTCACCACTAAGCCGGTGCTTAAATCCAGTCCCCGGCCTTCCTTTTCCTACATAAGAAAAGAAACTACTTCAAAAGGCAAGGACCAGAAAGAGGCCTCTCTGGTTCAGAATTCTGCTTCTGGCATGGGGAAGGGGCAGCTCCTGGATGGTGGGGTGGGGAGGGCCACCAGGGAGCCACAGGACAGGGAAGGAGCTTATGCTGCATTGTGGTACAGCACTGGCCGTGGGTGCTTAAAACACGCACTGCTCTTTGCTGGAAAACATTTATCTGTATTTCTTACAAACAGCCAGCTAGACAGACTCAACATTAGGTCTTTGGGGTTTGTCTTGATTATTAGGGACCTGAAGGGTGGCACCTGGGCCTGTTTCACCAAGGCATGAAAAAGTCCCTATATGAATGGACCAACCCCCCCCCCCCCCCCACCAGGGCTGCTGAGGGACACTGGCCAGTTAAAGAAAGGCCATGGAGGAAGCACAGGAGGTGGCTGTATTCACTTGGAATTTCCCAGTGGTTGCATGTGGCTAGATAAATAAGCACTTGTAACTTACTGCTCTGTAGTCCAGAAACATTTCTTTAAAAGCCAGAAAATCTGTAAATGTGAGCAGCATGTCAAAGATGTCACCAGCCACTTCATCTTTATGGTGCCTGCAAAGGAAAGGGTGGCGGCTGCAGAAACGGGGATAAGACAGACCCTCTCTGTGAGACTTCAACACAGGTGGTGAAGTCCCCCCACCCAGACCTAACACCAATTCTCTCACTGGAAAGTAAGGGAGGGTATTTTTTCCTGTGGCTCAGGAAGGAGGGAGGTGAAAAACAAGACAGCTGAGCTGGACTCACTGTAGCGTTGTCGTGAAGGCCGCCATGCTGAACCCTGGGATCCGCTCCAGCAGCTGCTCCTCGATGTACTTTTCCACTAGAGAAATCTGCAGCGGTGGGAAAGATTGTGGCAGAGAACTTGTGTTAGGGAAACAGGACTTGTTTTTAGGAAGCCCATCCTCCAGGCCCTGGAAAGCATCTCTGAAGTCCTATTTTATGAACTAGCTCTGTGCTAAGCACTGGGTATTTGAGAGGGGACCATGACCCAGGTCCCATCCTGGCTATCTTGGGCCTGCCTCCTGCCCAGAAGGGCATTTGTGGGTAGGTAAGCTACCACAGGATGACCAGATGGACATGGAGAGCACCAGGCTTCCCCACTCCAGCCCAGGTCAGGAAAGCACCATGGGGTCCTCTGTCTGCGCAGTCAGGACCTGCGCATACAGCAGCATTAGTAGCACATCTGGAGGCAGCCCTGGCTCCTCCTGAGCCGGCTTCCACAGTGCCTGCTTCTACATCTGGAAAGAGTCCTAGAGATGCACAGTTCTTAAACAGGTGAGGGGAGCCAGGAGGCTTCAAGGGCCTCAGGGAATGCTATAAGGACCCAAGGGTGAACAGCTGAGGTTCCTTGGCTCCAGTCTTGTCTCTTCTACTACCTAGTGAGTGACTTGGTCTCTTTCTATTGTAGAAGAAAGCAAGAAAATAAAAAGCTTTCTCAAAAACACAAATGCAAAAGATGGTGTGGTGCTGCAGCTTAAGGCAGGATTACAACGAAGCCCAACTTCTTTTAAACATGTAGTTGCAAACTCATCAGATTTTGCCTGAAAGGCTTTTGGAAAGCAGTTCTAAGAACAAGGCAAAGAAAAATGAATGACAACAAATTCTAATCAGAGGGGCTAGGGATACAGCTCAGCGGCATAAGTACCTGCCTGACAAGTGCAAGGTCCTGAGTTCAATCCCCTGTACCGCAAAGAAACAAAAACAATCAAACAAAAATTCTAATCAGAATTCCTGGCAATGCACTGCTGGCATATTTTAAAAGATGTGTAAATTTCAGCCTCTTTTGAATCTAAACTCAGTTTTTTAAAAATGCACTACTGGAGACTGGACCCAGGGCCTTCACAATGAACTATATCCCCAGCCCTACTTTAGTCTGAAACAGAACTTGCTAAATTGCCCAGGCTGGGCTGGAATGAGATTACAGGTATGGATCATTTAGACTAGCTCTAAATTCAAAGTGTAAAGAACACTAATGTCCTGGAAGGAGAAGCGGAACTCTACTTACATATTCATTAAAAATAGGTGTGTAGGTGAGTTTGTTCTCCTCTGTGTCTTCAAACTCCCGGTAGTACTTGTCCATGAAATTTCTCTGCAGTAACTGGAACTCATCATCTGAACACAAGAGGAAAAATACACTTTTTTAATGCAGGCTAAAAGCCATCCTGATTTATGAGAAGATAAGAGGGCGGCCTGCTTTGTCAGCAGGCCATCTAAGACAGGAAAAGCCCGTGTTTCATGTTGAGGTTAAAAGGGATTCTCATGTTGAAATAGAGCAGTCAGTCTTATTTTTGTGATACTGTGCTATGAACCCAGGGTCTCTGGCACTGAGTTATACCCCCAGCACTTTTTTTTTTTTAACTTTAAGAAAGGGTCTTACAGGGCTGGAGAGATGGCTCAGTGGTCTAAAGCACCTACTTAGAACAAGCTTGGCAAAGCACAGGGACCATGGTTCGATCCCCCAGCACCACATGCCGGCCAGCCGCGCCCCCTGGTGGGCTGAGCTGGCCACACACACACACACACACAATAAATAAATGTTAAAAAAAAAAAAATTAAAAAAAAACAAAAGGGTCTTACAAAGTCATCACTGGAACTGGTGATCCTCCTGCCTCAGCTTCCCTGAGTGCTGAGATTATGGGCGTGCACCCTTATGCCCAGCTCATTTCAATTATTTTAAGTGTACAGTTTGGTATACTTAAGTATGTTCACATCTCTGTGCAACAGTGACCCTCTTTTTATTAAAAGTGAATTTCTTTTTATTTATTTGATACAGGGTCTCGCTATATAGTGGGGCCAGCATGGCATGCAGTACTGGGGAATGAACTCAGGTCTTTGTGCTTGCCAGACAGGAACATGGACTGTGGTGCTATCTCCCTACTCCAACCCCCTTACATTTCAAATACATCTATACAGGCTGGCTTGGGAACTCCAAGCACTGCTGGTAAAGGAACACATTGGTTCTGTCTTTTTGGAAATTGTGTTTACTGTATATGCAAAGGTCAGTTCTCAAACTGGGGAGGCTTCAAACCCAATGGCAAGAGCCTCCTCCTTTAATTTTCACAGCACTATTGAAAGCAGGGTGGTGATTAAGTGTGGGGGCCAACAAAGGCCAGATTGCCTAAGTCCAAACCTCACCTCAACCAGCTCTGTTGACCTTGGACAAGTTGCTAAACTTCCCTAACCCCCAATTTCTTCACCTGGAACACAAAAATGATTATAAGACTTGTCATAAGGAATTGCTGGGTGGAATTCAGGTACAGTTCACGATTAGTTCATGCAAATGTGTAATGTTAGGGAATAAGCAATTTTAACAACTGAATAGGGTATTATTTCTAAAAATAAAAGGAAAGCTTCAAAAAAGGACCTAGACTTTGGGAAAAATACCTGGGCTTACGGAAGGCTCATTTCTCCACAGAATACAGATCCCCATAATGGACAAAATAACCAAGTCCATTCTTCTGTATTCCCCAGAAATCCTCAAGTCCACTTGAGAAAGCTTAATGGCAGTGTCTGTATTTAGGTATGAAGGGCATGAATCTTACAGGTCCTGAAGGTCCTACAACTTTTGTCAGTGATTTTCAGGCTAAACTGAATTAAGCTGTACAATGAGTAACATCAAATGCCTTAATTCTCAGAAAACTTAAGTCAATAGACAAAATTTTCATTTTTTTCTCTCTGTATTTGTCTTAAAACTTCTGAGCCATGCTCCTTAGCAGGATTTAGAGATGCTAAAATGAATCCACAAGTCAGACGTGTTTGCATATGTCTGTAATCCAACACATGGGAGGCTGAGGCAGGAGGACCATCCGGGTTACACAGCAAGTTCAAAACCAGCCTGAACTACACAGCAAGACCCTGTCCCCCAAAAACAAAAAAGCAAACAAATAGGAACTCAAAACTCAGGAAAAGAGATCCAAGTGAAGTTTAGTATCTTGTTTTCTTCACAGACATGTATGCATATGGTTGTAAGTTCTGTTTTATGGCATATAAATGTTAAAACACATCTATCTAAAATCTTCTGAATGTGGTAGCACTGGGAAAGCTAAGGCAGAAGGACCAAAAGTTTATCACTTTGGGCTACACAGGGGATCAAAGCTTGCCTAGATTACATGGTGAGACTCTGTCTCAACAACAACAAAATAAAACAGAAACACTATTTAAAAAAAACCAAAATCACTCTTATTCCATATGTGAAATAAGGTCGGTATTTCACGGAGCTTTGACAAAAGCTCCACATTCTCGGTGCCTACTGTAGAGAGAGTAAGTTCCTTTTGCCCCCAAATCTGTGGTAAGTGCTTTAAGTACTACAGGGTGGTCTCTAAGACAAATCTCAGTAAGGTTTACTTAATACTACACTATGCTACTTTAAAATGTACATGTACATGTGACTTGATATTTTCTCTTTTTTCAAAGTAACACTTCAAGTTGATTTCAATATCCTTAAAAATAGAGTCTATGAAATAAAGAGAAGAACGGAAAACATCTACCCCAGTGATGTATGTATACCCATGGTGACAGCAGCACAGTCTGTCTCAGCTAAATCTTGGAAACAACCCAAATGCCCATCAGCTGAGGAATGGATAAAAAAGATGTGGTATTTTTATACAATAAATATTACTCAGCTATCAATAAAAATAAGCTTAAGGCTTTTCTAGGTAAATGGATCAAACTAGAGGCTATACTCATAAGTGAAATAAATCACACTCACATGTGTAAACATTGTATTGTCTCCTTCGTGTAAAAGCCAGAAAGACTAAATAAAATCTGAAAAGTACAATAGATATAGTAAAAGGGAAGGAAACTAAACATAAGGAATAAACAGTTGAGATGAGGGAAAGGAGAAAAGGTAGGGAAAAAAGGGAAAACAATCATGTATGTATATACATGCAAGATAGCTAACATGATTGTGCTACTAATTTTTATCAGTTTTTCGATGGTAGCAATTAATACTTAAAAGTCTCACTTTGACCAATTTTATATTTTGTCTGTAATATGTGCAACTACACTGAAGACAGCAATGTGTAATATAACCACTGTTGAATACTTACCTTATTTTTAAAAAATTCGGTATAATTTCTAATATCTTACCTATTATGTTTCTATTCTCTTTAAAATAAAAAAAAAAAAAGCGGGTTGGGGGAGATAGCTCAATAGAATAAGCGCTTGCCTGGCAAGCTCAAGGGCCTGAGTTCAATCCCTGGTACCACCAATAAATAAATAAATAAATACACTATTGTCATTACATATTTAAAAAAAAAAAAAGCGCACAGATGAGGTTGTGGCTCGGAAGCTTACCCATGATAATGTCCTCTAAATATCCAACCACAGCATCAAATTCAGCATCAGAGGCAGAGGAGCTAAAAAATACGTCAGAATTAGGGGTGGGTTCAAATAAGTTTAACTTTAAAAAAAACAAAAAAACTACGATTACTTTCCAACTTGCACAAGGAAAAAAAGAATAAGATGAACTGCCCGTTGAACAACTGTTAAAATGTAGTGGTACCACTTTGACAAAGCCTGATAATGAATTACAAAACAGACACAGAGCGCTAAAGCTGGCTGGGACGCGTCCAGGTCCTCCGCAGTCTCCTTTGGGAGCTACTCACTACGTCGTGGCCATCGCGACAGCCCCATCTGCTGGTCAGCGCGAACCTGGCGAGGGCGAGCACGGGCCCACAGGGGATTTCAGCAGCATTCGACTGGGGACGCGGGTGGCGGGGGTGGCGGGTCCGCTGACCAGGCCCCCAAGGTTCAGATCCGCCTGGTTTTGGCTAAGGTTCAGGCCGGACGATAGGGAGGGAGGGGCTGACACCGTGGTGACCTCCGCCCCGAAATTTTGTCTCCCGGGACCTCATCCTGGTGAGCGGCGGCCGCGGAAGCAGCAGAATGGAGACCGGAACTAGAGTGGAGCCCTGGCTGTCCTCCAACGTGTCCCCCACCGCCCAGCACCCCCGCTTTCCAGGGCAGCGGCCGAGCGTCTGCCGTCACTCACAAGGACAGCGCCAAGTTTTCCTCCTCCAGGGCGTCCATCGTCGCGGAGCCGCATCTACCTGAGTGGATGCGCGGGTTCCCCAGCCTCTTACCACGCCCACCGCCCAGTCTCGGCTCTACTTCGCGGAGCCCACAACCAGCATCGAGGGCACAGCGGCCGGCCGACGTGGGGAGGCCTAGCTGCCCAGCCGGCTCTGGCGCCCTTGCCCTGCCAGGCCGCTCCGCGCGCGCCGCCGCAGCCACAAGTCCAGAAATCAGTTACAGACCGCCGCGCGCTGTGCCCGCCCCCATCACCATAGTTACCACAATCTTTCACGGCGCATGTTCCCAACAACCAATCACAGGCGGTCGTTACAGACGACGGGGCGGGGAATGGAGGGAGCGGATTTCCGGGATAGGGAACGTCGCGGGGGGATGCTGGGCCTTAAAATCTGTAGTGGACTGGGGAAGGCGTTTAGAGGCGTGTAGGGACTCAATCTCACTTTGTCCGCATTTTATGGAGGAAGGAATCGAAGCAAGGCGTATGTTTTTTCACGTACAACTTGGTGATCAGTTAAACCTCACAGTGTTTGAGAAGATTTACCTAATGAAAGCATATTTTAAGAGCATTGTGAATTGACAAATCTTTTTAAAGCCAGTCCTCCCCACCCCCCGCTTTTGAACCAGATAATAGAGTCGCCTGACTCTCGATAAAGTTACACGCCCACCTATCGCCCTACCCCTCCATAGAGAATTCCCCACTGCATGAATTGGATGTCTTATAATTTACATCATAATGTTCACATCATTATTAGGTAATAAATGGTTTCTTGGCTATGCAAGACAAAAGTTGACAGAGCCAGTTTGAGCAACACAATCACAAATCCTGTAAGTGCTCCAGGAAGAGTGTCCTTCATAAAGATTTCCTGGAACTGATGTCTCTTGATTGGATCATTAAGCATTTTGTCTCTGGTTGCATGATACCTGTTGGTCAAATTTGTTTTCTCTTTTTTTTTTTTTTTTTTTTCTGGAACCGGGGATTGAACTCAGGTCCTTGGCGCTTATTCTACTGAACCATCTCGGCCCAAATGTGTGGCATTTCACTAGAGGGACATACAGTATAAATTGAAGATTAGATGCCCAAACTGAACCAATTAGTAGAGATAAAATAGGTATCTGTAGGATCTGGAACTAAAGATGGTAACAAAGACACTGTAATGGGGTGCATCAATTAGCAGTGTACTCTTTTTAGCACAAGGTGGGAGACAGGCATCTAAAAAGCTTTGCTGAGCTGGGCCTGGTGGCCCTGGGATAATGATACAGGAGGTAGGGCACCCCAAACCTGACTGGACATATAGGCAGAATCTGTAAATTACAAGATCCCAGGGAAACCAGTTAACTCTAGGAACTTCCTGCACTCCCACGAGATCGGGATGGTATATAGGAGGCACCACAAGAAGCTTGCTGTCCTGACCTGCCTGGATACCCTATACTGGACCGTCAGATAACTACTGTGTAAGAGTACGAGTACGGCAAGTTTGAGCCCAGCCTGCACAACTTAGCAATTTAGTGAGACCATCTCAGAAACACAAGCCAGGGATGTAGCTCAGAGCTAAGCATCTCAGTTCAATCCACAGTTCCATCAAAAAATAAAGACAAAATAAAAATAATAAATGCTTTGTAGGATTTCTGAATTCTGTTCCATCACGTAGGTAGACACAGCAAGCTCAGCAAGTCTTCATGACCTACTTTCTGAACATAGCACACTTATTTCTGGACTAAGTGAATTTTTTTTTTTAATTTATTTTATTTATTTATTTGTGTGTGTGTGTGTGTGTGGCCACCTCAGCCCACCAGGGGGCGGGCCTGGCTGGCATGTGGTGCTGGGGGATTGAACGGTGGTCCCTGTGCTTTGCTAAGCTTGTTCTAAGTAGGTGCTTTAGACCACTCAGCCATCTCACCAGCCCTGGACTAAGTGAATTTGATCACCTTTTTAAATCAGGCGGTCAGAGTGCAAGAACATCAAAACTTGATTTCATCTGTTCTGGTATCTACTGCTACTTTAAACCACCTGAAAACTTAGTGGCTTAAGCAAGTTATTTTGAGGCAGGCCAAATAGCTCAGCAGATTAAAGCACCTGCAAGCAGGCGCAGGCCTGCCATGCCAGCCCTGCCCCCGGGGCACGCTGAGACATTGAGAATGGGTGTGGTGGCAAGCGTCTGTAATCCCAGCACGTGGGAGGATGTAAACAGGAGAATCACTAGTCCAATCTATTAGTGAACCCTGGACACCCTGCGGACCCTTCCCTAAAATACAGGAGGGGCCGGGGAGATGGCTCAGTGGAATAAGTCCTTCTTTGGCAAGTGCAAGGGTCTGAGTTCAATCCCCTAAACTACAGGGGGAAAAAAGTTACTTTGCTCACTACTCTGTAATTTGGGCAGGGCTTAGCAGGGACAGTTACTCTCTCACTTGTCAGATGGGGCTTCTAAGGAGCTCACTCACATGACTGCCAAGTTTTAGTGTTGGCTCTTGCTTGGTTTTTCAGTTGTGGGTGTTGGCCTGAGGACTTGGGGCAAGGATTGTCTTCTCTCCATGTATGTCTTCTTCAGGATCCTTGGGGCTTCTTCCTCCATAGCGGCTGAGGCCAAGAGCAAATACTGTACTTCAAAATAGAAAATGAAAGCTGCCTGCACTTAATGACCTTATACTGTGCTTGAAACTAGTACAGTATTATTTTCACTGTTTTCTATTGGTCAGATAGGCACAGAGATAACCGAGATCTAAAGGAAAGGGACGTAAGCCTCATTTTTAGAAAAATATGTATATGGGAATTGAACCCAAGGCCTTGTGCATGCTTGATAAGCACTCAAACCCCTAGCTACAACCCCAGCCTCTAATTTTATCTTTTTTCTGGTACTAGGGATCAAATGCAGGGCTCTTGCAAGACCCCAGCCCTTCTCAGCTTTTTTTGTTCCCTTCCTCTTTGGAGACAGGGTCTCACTATGCAGTTCAGGATAGTCTTGAATTCACTATGTAGAGTAGCCTAGGCTGGCCTTGGACATACAGCTATCATCCTGCCTCTGTCCGTCCCCTAAGTGCTGGGATTACAGGTGCGTGCCATCACACCCAACCCCTTTTAGCTTTCTTCTTCTTCTTCTTCTTCTTTTTTTGTACCAGTAATTGAACTTAGGACTTCAAGCTTTCCAGGCAGGCACTGTACCACTAAGCTGTATCACAGGCCCTTTTTTTAGTTTTTGAGACAGGTTCTGGCTAAATTGCCTATCCTGGGTTTGAACTTTCAAAGCCTCTTGCCCCAGCCTCCCAGAGGTCTGGGACTATGAGTGTGTGCCACCAGGCCCTGCTTAAATGATGGGAGGAATGCAAAAGAATTTAAAAATCAATCTCACCATTTTTGGCTGTATAAACAAAGGGGGATAGAATAGGTATATGTAGGCAGGTATGTGCCAGAGACTATGCTCAACTTTTACAATTTTTTTTTGAAATACCTGAAACTGAGAAAAAAAAACCCTAAACATAAACCCCTATAAGGTAACTGTTATCTCCATTTTATAGACTGGGAAATGAAGGTTGAGACTATACTTTGATTCTAGCTTTGAAGGACCCACATTAATTATCATGCAATATATAGCCACTAATCCCAGGGTCATTAAGCATACTTTTGAAAATCAGAACACGTTTTTCTGTTGAAAACAGAATAGTGGTCTTTTACATAAAAACTGACAGAAACATTAAATCATACTTTCCCATTAATAATGATTTTAAAAATTCTTTGTGAATTAGCATTAAAATTTTTTCTAAGCAAATAAGTAGCAGAAAAACAGCTGATAATCTTGGAAAGAGCTGATTTTAGTTGGGCAGTTTGTTTTCATGGATACATTCAAGACAGTTGAAATTATTGGGAAAGTCATTTTCTGCTGCTAAACTTGTTTTGGTTTCTGTGATTTAATCCCCGATTCCTGGCACTCTGCACTGGCACCATGGTTTTCTCCTGCTTTACGTCATTCACAAAAGGTAGCAATTCCCAATTTGTTTTGGCTGGAGCCCTGAATTTCCCTGATGAATCAGTGGAGAAATGCCATAACATTTTTTTCCCCTGCTAGTAATACTATACTTTACATTTGGTGCAGTATATGAATCTGCTCTCTTCCACGAACACCTGCCAATCTCTAATTTTTTCTCTTCTGTGTGGAATTATTGTCCTTCTTTTGAAGTAGTTCCAAGATTACAACTTTGCTTCCATCCTGGTTTAATTAATTTAATATTAAAGTCTTTGTTTTGTGTTCTATAAGTTAAGAATTAGAAAAGTAGACTAATTTAGGAATAAAGTTCAAGGGTACATTTCTAGAAAGCTGAGAGGCTCCCGCATAATTCCTCTACTGGAAGATTATTAATCCCATTGATTTCTATTTCCATTGAGTTTCCAGATCCCTTTTACCTCTCAGATCTATTTCAATGTTCTTTATCATTTCTACTTTTTGTTTCTTCTCTACCTTTACCCAATATTTCCATTCCATTATTCTCCAAACAGAAGTCAGATTTTTTTTTTTTTTTTTTTTAAAGACAGGATCTTTTACTCGGTCAGGCTGGCCTTGGTCTCAAATTCACTATGTAACCCAGAACTTGAACTCATGATCTTCCTGTATGAGCTTCCCAAGTGCTGGTGCGTGCCCTGATGCCTGGCAGAACCAACTTTTAGAAGTATTTATTAAGGTACTTCAGGCTTAAATTTTGCTTTATACTATGCTTAGGATAAAACACATAATCCTTAATGTGGCTGTGACAAGCAGCCTGACTTCACACTGGTGCATGCCACTATGTCCGCACATGTGGCCTTTCATCAGATCCCAAAGCCTCAGCTCTTTGCTCTAGGTAGGGCATTTTGCTAGGAATGCTATGCTCACCTAGGTCCTAGAATCTTGTCCTTAGTCTCTCTCTCTGGCTATATTCTATTTTCCCTTAAGTTTTATTGGTGTTATTTCCTCAGGTTTCTTCTGGCATTCCCTTACTCCTGTCCCAGCCAAACATCGAAATTGGGTTTTCCCTTATTCTCTTTAGAATGATATTTTCTTCTTATCCCTAGGACTCTATTCTTTGCCTTCAGGGCACTAACAATTCATTACAGTAAACACAATTATTCTGTCTTCTCTTTGCTTCCACTCTGCAAGCAGATGACACAATACCCAGCATGTATTAGGTGCTCAATGAAGAGCTATTGGATGAATAAGAGAATAAGTGATTGAACCTAATTATTTTACTTGAGACACACTCTCATGATGTAGCCCAGGCTGGCTTTAAACTCATTTCAATACTCCTGCCTGGTTAGGATTACAGATGTGCACCACCACACCTAACTTATTTTTGTTTTTTTGAGACAGGGTCCTCCGATGTAGTCCAGGCTGGCCTTGAACTCATGGCAATTCTGTTTCAGCCTTTAGAGTGCTAGGATTACAGACATGCACTACCATACCCAGCTACTTAATTCTTGTACTTGATTCTCTCCTATCCTGAAATAGTCCTTGAAACTGAAAGTATATCTTTGAACTATAGTAATAGGCATCAATGAAAGTTGTGAAATCTTAAGTCAAAAAGGCAACAGATGTTTTATTCTTCAATGCAAATTACTGTATTCACCACAAGCTAAAGAGAACATATATCTCTATGTATATATATAATTTATATTTATATATATATTTAGATTTATGGAAGACTAAAGACATGGAAAAAAGTCCAGCACCCCAACAAGTACAGCCAGGAAGGAAATCAGCACTATCATAGGACAGGTTCAATAAACTACAAATAAGAAAGGGTGATAAGGAATGAAAAAAATGTGCATTGAGTTTAAGACACTGTAAAACTCAGAAGACATATTTACTATTCAAGTATAAACTCAGTAAGGACTTGGCATAAATTGAAAGGCAGCTGCTGAGGTACACCATTATAAAATAAGTCTATGAATTTACAATTCTACCTTCCAATTTTCTGGGAGAAAAACTGAACTCTTGAAGGTCTTCACCAGAGACCCTGAGAGGGATGAACACTTTTGATGAAGACATAGTCAACAATCCATGATTGAATTCAATATTCAAAAACATGTATTTATTTAAAACAATAGGAACACATGTTCTCAGACTGTCCTTTAGAGTTTTTGAGACTATTAATTTGAGAGTTCCAAAGTATATTACTTCCAAAACAATACTGATTAAAAAAAATTTTTAAACAAAAAGCAAAGAACCTGATTTGATGGTACCTTAAAAATACCCTAAATACCAGTCTAACATTACAATTAAGAATTCCTCCTGCATTGGTAAAACATTTTTTCCTCACAAAATGTGGGTACTGAAATTGGATAGAAACACCATGAATGTGAAAATACCACCAATTTTCTGCAGTTAAAAAAACCTAGAATGTTCTTTGGAATCACTGAAATATAAAAAAATTTGGGTTTTTTCTACAGTCTATGCACCTTCTTTCAGGTTTTCCATGTTGGTTATAGGACTGACCTGTGTGAATCTAATTTTATAGATCCAAGTCTTACAGTGCAACATCCATACTTAACACTCTGGTGTCTCTCTGACCATTGAGAAGTAATCTTAACCCAGAAATGCTGTCATTTACTTCTCCATCATAACTTCTCCCCAAAATAAAAACTTTATAGACTATGACACAAAATGTCCCGTGCTAACCGATCAAATGATGAACACAGCACGGAGAATTCCGGTGTAGTTTCGGCACTCAGGAGGGCATTGTCTCCCTATTGTTTTTCATGGAAATACCACAGGCCTGGCTGCTAGCATTCAGCATTTCTTGGCCTTAAAGGAATTTCTCAGGGCCAGCAAGTTAGAGTCTAAGAGAATTTTGTCTTTGATAATCTACCATATTTTTAGCATAAAATCTGGTCATGGCTGTAAGTTTCAATGTGCGTACAACTGATTCGATTTTTCGTTTTTCTTTTTTGACATTGGCTGGAATTGAGTAGAAATGAGTCCATGATGCATCTTCACAGGTGTCATGAAATATGAGAAATCTGTCTGACTCTAGACACTATTTCTTTACGACACAATGGACAGGTCTCCAGTTGCAAGGCACAATCCATGCACAGGTCACTGAGGAGAAAGACATAAATACCAGTCAAGTTAATGCCTCAAAAGGTCAAACTACCTAACTAGATATAAAATGGGAAGTAGTTCAAGAAGCTTTAAAAGTGATTTGCCTTAAAGTTCACAAATAACATTAAACCTTTTTTATATTTTATAAAGCCAAGATTACATAAAAAAATACTGAATAAAAAATAAAAACAAAGGCCTTCTCTATCAAGCAGCTTCTATTTGAGGTACTTTCTAGAAGACAGCCAGGAGCCATTTTTTTTTTTAGGACAGGATGTACAGGATGTATAGGGTCTCACTGTGTAGATTGAACTCAGTGATCCTGTTTATAGCCTCCCAAGTGCTGGGATTATAGGCTTGTGCCACCACACCCAGTCTCAATCGCCGTCTCAGTATACCCCAGGGGTAGGGCTGGCATGGCAGGCCAGGGGATCAAACTCCCAGCCCCTGCATCTGCCTAAGCAGGTGCTTTAATCTGCTAAGCTACTTGGCTGGCCCTAGCCAGGGGCTAGTTGGCAAACTAATTTCTCATTTAGCCCATTTTAGCTGCAATGAACAGTATAGAACTGCTAATACTTTAAAAGTAATTCAAGAACAGGATGAAATCTCTGATGTACCATGATGAAACAATCAAACAGATTTTCTTACCTGTGGCCACATGGCTTCAATTGTGTGTCTGCTACTTCATCACAACAAAGGGAGCAGCAGTTTTCTCGGATACTGACTTGCTTCAACAGAGCAAGACGCCTGTGCCTAAGTAGACAAAGCAGTTTGCAATTCATATTGTCAACAAGACAGCCTGTTAGTAATGATGCATAAGAAATACTTTCAAAGTGCTCTGTATATGGCTGATACAGTAAGTACTCCTTAAGCTCTGTTCAGTCAGTAAACTTGTTATGTGTGGTAACTTGTTTTCATCTTAGGAGTCAAGAAGACAAGACCATTCTCACTTTACAGAGAAAAATATTTTAAAAAATGATTTGCATAAGGTCACACATGATAAACAGTCAAGAGTCAGATTTAAATCCTTTGGTTCTAAATCCAGTGATTTTTTCATTTTACCAGTAAATGTCAACCACTGATTGATCCTGGCAAGTGCAAGGGCCTGAATTCAATCCCTGGTTCTGCCAAAAACAAAAAAACAACAACCCCCCCCAAACAAACCATTGATTGATTGATTGATTGATTGTACTCCTTGCGCTTGCCAGGAAGGCACTTAAGCCGCTGAGCTCTCTCCCCAGCTTTCAACCTTTTAAATTCCGTATCCCTTGAAAGTTTGAAGAAAAGTACAGAACCTTTCCTCAAGAAAAATACACACATGAAAGTTTTTATACAGTTTAAAGGGCTTGTGACAGTTCACTACAGACTCCCTGCAAGTCCAGACACCTCAGCTTAGAGCCCTTCTACTACACTTTGACTAGCACAGAACAGAAAAGCAGATGGCCAGAATAGGTCAGGCAGTGTCCCAAGCCCTGGTGGTTTAGCAGTGCACAGAGGACCGAAAAAGGGCCTGTGCTTCCAGACAGCTTAAATTCCAATCAAGGGAGACAAATAAGAAGATAAATTTTAGCAATGTACAAAGAACATTAAATGTTGATAAATTCTATGAGGAACGGGAATGTATATGTGCAAGGGAGAGGAGAGAGAGGGAGACAGTTAATGAGGGTGAAATACATTATGTATCACTGTACTATTCTTTTTCTTCTATGTATTTAAAGTTTTCCATAAAAAAGGTTAAGAAAAAACAGTGAATGGAAAGAGAATTAGAGACATAGAATATATGCAATATAGTATAATTTACACCATTCCAGGTAGTAGTACAATTATTCCAATGAGTAAAATAGCAGTAAAAAAGTATCTCTGAATATAAATTTTTGGAACACAGGGTGAAAGTATTAATGAAAATGGTCCTAAGCAGGTTCATACTTAAATGCCCCATTTCTAACTTTCTCTTAACTGTACTTTTAAGAGGAGCAAGGTACCAGTAGCTAGCCTTACAGCAGTTACTCAATTAGGGTCCTAACACTTCCTGTCACAATGTCACTGTCGCTATAGATACAACATAGATTTGGCCAGCATGTTATAATTCTGCTCTTCTTATTCAAGACAGGACAAATCAGGGTGCCAAATTTACTACACAGCCATTAAGACAGTATGTGTAAGTGAGCCATAAAAGGCAACTTTCAGGAATTGATACTGTCATCTGGGCAGTGGAAAGCTTTCTTCTGCAGGCACAGTTAATTAAATGTTAAAGCAGTCTTGACTAAGGCTACTTTTTTTTTTTTTTTTAATGTATTTGGTACACGGTCTCACTATGCAGCTCGGACTCATAGTGATCCTCCTGTTTTCAGCCTCCCCAGTGCTGGGATTATGGGTGTGTCACCATGCCCCGTTCAGCTAGCCCGGGGGCAGCGGTGGGACTGGTGTGGCACGCAGTAGCAGGCATTGAACCCTAGTCCTTGTGCTTGCCTAAGCAGATGCTTAGTCCTCTGAGCTGTCTTGCCGGCTCCTGCTTTAAAATTTTGAGGTAGGGTATTGTTAAATCACTAAATTGCCCAGGCTGGGCTTAACTCTTGATCCTTCTGCCTCTTCCTAGTGTGTTGGTGCCACTGTACTCAACTCTAGGGAACTCTGAAATGGACCAGTTGTACTTTCTGGGTAATCAGTAGGCATCATCCAGGGAAAATGCAGGCTACATATAAAAGTAATGGAGTGTGAAGGGAAGAGAGGTATTTGCCTTACATTCATCAATAGGAAAGTTCAAAACTTCTGTCAGGCCCCAACATAAATTGAATGGAAGTTCTAGGGAAATACCTCAGATCCCTGAGCTTAGATTTAAGAGGCCCTTATGTTCTTGGGATATTGCCAAGTCTCTGCTGCTAATGCTGCTGTTTTAGATCACCTGCAAACTGCTGAGCCACTGAGACATGAAGTCAAAGATGAAGCATAGCTCAGAGGGCTGCTTAAAGACTTGAATTCTGAACCAAAAAAAGGAGCCTCATTCCATTGTAAGTACTTTGAGTGGTATAATGGTCCAGCACAAACTATTCCCTGGCCAGTATGATTTCCTTGGCATTAGTGGCATCATGTGGCATTAGCAACAGGAATACCCTGACTCATACAGTGTCACAGTAAAATAAAAGCTTCAACATGTACTAATTACCAGGAAGCAGCTCGAATCTTTTCCCATCTGAAGGAATAGACTGTATTCATCTTCTAAAGAAGACAATTAGGTACTTGTCCAATGAGACAATTAATGACAATCACAGTTTTTGTTAAATAAAGGTAGAGAAATTTTATCCACGATGGCATTACTACTACTCCAATAGTTGTGGAACAGTATTGGTTTGGCATCTTTGCTAATGCAGCTAAAACCCAAAAGAAGTTGGTTTAAATAAACTCAAGTCTGTTAATAGATGCACCTGCTTTCCTGATTATGTAGGACTTTTACACTAATATTCAGATGAAGTTAGTCTGTAGTGTGTGTTTGTGCATGTGCCATACTTTTCTGATTTTCATACTGACATTATTTGCCTCATAAAAAGAATCTGGAAGCCAGGTGCAGTGGTACACACCTGTAATCCCAGCACTCTGGAAGGCTGAGGCAGCACTGGAAGTTCTAGCCGAGACTGGGCAAATTAATGACTTAGTAAGACCCTGTCTGAAAATAAAAAAAAATAAAAAGAGTTGGGGATGTGGCGTAGTGCAGAGTTCCTGGATTCAAGCATCCGTACATAGGGGCAAAAAAAGAATTCGAACACATTACTTCTAAAACATTTTAAATAATAACAGTTCCCTGTTAGCTAAAAATCTGATAGACATATCCTGTAAAACCACACAGGTCTGGTGTTTTTTGAGACTATCATTCTTTTTTTTTTTTTTTTTTTTTTGTACCGGGAATTGAACTCAAGACCTTGAGCTTGCCAGGCAGGTGCTTGTGCCACGAGTTATATGCCTAGCCCTGGAAATATAACTCTTAACTGTTTTCAGTTGATGTTATAGCAATTAGTTTGTAGCTGGGTGTCCTCTGGTAGGCTGAGGCAAGGAGAACTGCAAGTTCCAGCCCAGCCTGGGCAACACAGTAAGAGTGATTCAAGATAAAATGTGCTAGAGACACAGCCCAGTGCAAAAGCCATAAGTTCAATCCTCAGTGCATGGTGGAGGGGAAAGGCTTATATATATCTCCTTTGGGTTCATTTTAGTAATTTGTATTTCCCAGGAAGCCTTTTTAGTGAAGTTTCCAAAATTATTTATTAACAGTTGAAACAATGCTCTTAGATGCACGTGGCAGTCCTAAAATAGCCTGTGCAGATTCCTTACCTTGGCAAAATGATTTTTTCTTCAGCTGTTAGGAAGGCATAGTCATTAAAAGTGCTAAATTTCATAGATGGTGGGTATTTGAATGGTTTTGCTCCAAAATTAAACTCACATTGTTGATATGACATAAAACTAGCTGCAGCAAAAAATCCAGATCTACAAATAAAAATGAGTACAGAGGTCAATGAATTAATAGAAACAAGGCAATGCTCATACATTACAGTGGTTTCCAGGAAGTCCAGATGGGCCAGTTATACCCTGACTGGAAGAAGTGGGCAGATTCTGTTTACTAACCTAGACAGATCTGTGAATTAGAGAATATTTTGCCTTTATCTTCCTATATCAAACTTCAGGATAGTTTCAGGTCTAATCAAAATCAAATAGGTCTCCAATTACTTGAAATAAATAAATTTCCCATCAAAGCAGCCTACATTAATGGAGAAACCGCCCCCCCCCCTTCCCCAGCCCTGGAAAATCTGACTATTCAAATTTTCAACTAAGAGGAGTTACTTACACAGTAGATGAAAAGACTTGTTTCTCAGGAGGCAGCTGGTTACCATTTAAAAAGAAGATCATTTGCTTTTCATTCAAGTCTAACAGAAATCCTACTGTGTCTCCTGCCGGATAAAGTGAAACACTGTTAGGATAATGCTGTACACTACCAGGATTCTGAAAGAGTCTCAGTGGCCGGCCTGCCTTTCTTTCTTTCTTTCTTTCTTTCTTTCTTTCTTTCTTTCTTTCTTTCTTTCTTTCTTCTTTCTTTCTTTTTTTTTGTACTGGGAATCAACTCAGGACCTGGTGCTTGCCAGGAAGGTGCTTGCGCTGCTGAGCCATATCCCCAGCCCAGGGGCACTGTATTGAGTCTATTTTTATTTAATAATTCAATAGGTTCATCTTTTTTTTTGGGGGGGGTCTTTTTGAGACAGGGTCTTTGTATGCAGTTCAGGATGGCCTTGAGCTCACTTCGTGGCCCAGATGGGTCTTGAACACTCAGTGATCCTCCTGCCTCAGTCTCCCAAGTGCTAGGATTACAGGCCTCTGCCACCACACCTGGCAACATATTCACCTTTGTTTCCTCCACAAATGATTTGACCCCCTACCTAACAATACTTTCATGTATCATTAAGAAAATAATGCTGGCTGGGGTTATAGCTCAGTGGCACAGTGCCTGCTTGGAAAATACAAGGTCCTAAGTTTGATTCCCAGTACAAGAAAAAAGGAAAAAAATGCTTTGAACTGAACAAGCCAATAATTATTAGATGCATCCTAGGGGCCAGGGAGAAAGCTCAGTAGAATAAACCTTGCCTGGTAATCGCAAGGGCCTGAGTTCAACCCCTGTTTCTGACAAAAAAAAAAAAAAAAAAAAAAAAAAAAATGCATTCTAATATCAAAAATATTACTATGTGGAAAAAATATGCATGTTGAGATCAATGAAATATGGTAAGACAAAATCATGTGCCAATTTGCCTCTCTGGTGTTATCTAAAACTTGCTAGATAACAAACATTTGTTAAAAAAAAATTCATCCTCTCTTAAATAAAAGTATGAGATTTCTAGTTTTTGTTTCTTAAATTGCCAAGATAGATAACAACAACGAACATTTAATGTTAGTAGAAACAATTTTTCAATACCTAACAGGAGCCTTGAAACTGTGAATCTCTATTGTCAGAGAAGTTTCACTTCTAAGGATTTATCCTGAGAAAATCCAGAATGGTTTACAATAATTGTAAAAGACAAAAATGTCAATGTCCAAAGTTAAGACATTAGTTAGTATTTTATAGCATAAGCATATAGTAGAATATTGAGACATCAAAAATATTATGTTTAATAACCTGGAAAACTTAAAAAAGTATTAAGCATAACAACAGATGTATAAATATATCTCCAAGATTTAACTTTTAAAGAAAGTCTCTTGCCAAACAGTGACATGGGCCTATAATCCCAGCTACTTGGGAAGCTGAAGCAGGGTGATTATAAATTTGAGCCCAGGCTGAACAATAAGTAAGATTCTGCCTAAAGAACGTTGAGGCAGGGAGGCTGAAATGGTAGCTCAGTGGGAGAGTACTGTTTAAGCTGTGTGAGGCATAAGTTGAATTTCCAGTACTGGAGGAAAACAAAGAAAAAAACCCAACTCTGGAAAAGAATTGTAAGGAATTTTAAAAGTTTATTAATTTTTCTTTATAAAGTTTTTTCAAATTTTTATGATAAACATACTTAGATATTTTTATTTTTAAAATGAGGCAGCTTTTAAAACAGTGCCTCTATCTTATGCTGTATGTAATGGATATGTTTCATATTTATTGCAATGAGTGCTTCTCAAAAAAAAAAAAAAAAAGTGCTTCTCTTGACTTCTCAGTTGTTTTTCTTTTTCCACATCATTAATTTAGTCAAGTGAAGCTATCTTCTGATGAGAATGGTCAAATTCCTGTTCGTAACATGCCTGTCAGTTTGCATTCATAATGTTGATTATGGCAGGAAAATGAGAGGAACACATGGGAAGGGGCTGGGCTACTTTCCCAATCTAGCTTCAATGCTGAGACTACAAATCCTTTCAGAGGTTTCACCCTCTACCATATGACTTAATTTCTTCAGAGCATGGTCCCTAACTAATAGCAATTCCACTGTCATGTTGCCTGGGAAAATATCCTCATTTTAATGCACCACAATTCCGGTGTTCTTGATATTAACATGGCTACTTTGATTCAAAGCATAGACTCAAAAAAGTTTGAATTCATATACTGCCAATCTCTGTCTCTGTGTGTCTCTGTCCCTCCCTTTCATACTGGGGAGTACAACCTAGACCCTAGTGCATCCTAAGCAAGTGTTATACCACTGAGCTACCATCTTCAGCCCTCATATTAATCTTAGGAGGATCACTTTTTCTTTTTTTTTTTTTTTTCTTTTTTTTTGCAGAACCGGGGATTGAACTCAGGCCCTTGTGCTTGCCAGGGAAGCACTTATTCTACTGAGCCATCTCCCTAGCCCAATCACTTTCCTTTTGATTCAAGAATTTTATATTCTAAAGTATTTTGCTATAGGAGGGCTTGACCTGAGGTGAATTTATCAGAGAACATCACTCACATCCATGGCAGTAATACAAAGGCTGATATATTATTTTCATTTAGTCATCTTCTATTAAAGGCATATTAAGGCCTAATATATTAAATGCCTTGTGATAATCAGATATCTTAACCAAGGTGATGAATTCATGGAATACCTTCTTTCCAGCATGGGTGCACATGAGGCTTACTTCTGGCATTGTACCAAATCAGCTGCCGGCAGCCATCATACGCACAGGAATATTCATCGTCTCCAATACCATAGCCTTCCTGGAGAAAGACAAGGCCCAGATTAGCAAGGCTCTCCCGGCTCTGACCTGGGAAGAGAGTGTCTTTTATCACCATTAACCTAGTAGTTAGAATTTCCTTTTTTTTGTTGTTGTTGTTCTTTCTTTGACTCAAGGACTCTGAAGTTCAGGCTGGCCTTGATTTACTATGTAGCCTAGGCTGTCCTCAAACTCAGTGATCTCCCTGCCTCAGACTCGAGTGCTGGGATCACAGGTGTACACCACCAAGCCCAGCAGTAGTTGGAATTTTAAACATTCTAGGTGAGAGCAAAGCCTATGGCTCCTGGAAAATAACACAATTATAACTCAGGGCTACTGTGTGTTCTGTGACATGGTGGCCTGCTCTCATGTTGGTGTGTGTGCTTGTTTTTCTACTTTTACTTGGCCCACACTGGCTTTGCGGAACATGTTTCTTTTCTGATCTTTAATAAAACTTTGCTACCATGAAAAAAAGTAAGAAAGCAAATAAGCAAATAACCAACCAAAATCATGACCTAGAAGCCTGGTTCTAAGTAAACAGATAATGGCTTTACTAACAAGTATTTGCCAAATGCCTCCTTTGTTCATACTTTTTAATTTCTTTAAGTCCCATGAATGATCAAGAGGCTGGGGGAGTTATACTAATTGGTTTTTGTTTTTTTGTTTTTTTTTTTTGAGGAACCGGGGATTGAACTCAGGCCCTTGCGCCTGCCAGGGAAGTGCTTATTCCACTGAGCCGTCTCCCCGGCCCCCTAAATTTTAATAGGAATCAAAAGCTCAGAGGTCAAGCAGCTTTCCTGAGGACATATTATAAGAGAAGTAGAGCAAAAATTGAATCTAAGCTCTCACGATTTCAATTAATACTTTTTATGGGATCCACTGAACTTGAGCATCACACAGGTTCATGACAATTTATTACCTACTGCCTGCCTTTCATTATTTCCCAGAATTATTAACATAAAACAGTAGATAGGATCTTTTTTTTTTGGTGGAACCAGGGATTGAACTCAGGCCCTTGCACTTGACAGGGAAGTGCTTAGTAGATAGGATCTTAACAAATTATTTTCAGGACTTACCAAAAAGAAAATAAAAAGAGGAAACACAAAAACCAAACAACTGCTATGTTTAAGGATCAATGGTGAAGAGCTTCAGTGGGGAAAGAGACTGAAAATGTGGGCCAATCAAGTAAGTCCTGATGGCTTGCTCATTCAAAAGGGGAAAAAATGAAGCAATGTCATAAACTAAAAATAGTTCCAACAAACTCAACAATATACTAAATTCCTATTAGTTCTCTCCGAAGCAATGCTTCTAAATCATTCTTTTTTTTTGTATCGGGGATTGAACTGAGGACCTCGTACTTGCTGGCTACGCATTTATGCTGCTTAGCTATCTCTCTGGCCCCTGAACCAGCTGTTGATATGTACTATTCAGTCTATTCCACAGTTAAATGAGCTTGTATCTAACTGCCCCTAGGCAGAGAAGAAATTGAACCAGTGGGCTAGAAGGGTACCTTGCTATCCATTTCAAAGGCTGAACAAATCAGTAGGTAAAAATCCCAAAAGCCCCTGGCAGTATAATTCAGCAGTAGGTCACGTATTTAGGAAGTGCATGGCCCTGGTTTTAATCTCCAGATCTTCCCCGTAAACCAAAAAAGTTCTTAGCACTAACATTTGGGTATTGGGGTATATGTAAAAAGCAAATTTTTTCTGTCTCTATTTTCTTTTCTTGTGGAACCAGGGATTGAACTCAGGCCCTTGAGCTTGCTAGGCAAGCATTTATTCTACTAAGCCATCTTCCTGGCCCGTCTCTACTTTCTAATGTCTTACAGGAATTCCCTGTCACAACATCGGAAAGAAATTCCTAAAGGATTCCCAGTTACCAAGTGTGGCCTAGCCATTATCCTGCGATGTCCCTCTGCCTTCCTGTGTGAATTCCACAATACAGTGGCAATGTGGGGCAAAGGGAATTCTGATTAAACTGTATCCACAGATCATCTGTGACAGAATTAAGACACAGGTGCCTTTGCCTAGCACTTTCAACAGCTCTTTACATTTGTATCTCAAAAAGCAAGCATACCTTCTTTCTGCTCAAAAACATTCCCAGTAGCACTGACTTTGATTTCCATTGGCTCCGGTGGATAAAGGAGAAAATGAGGTAGCTAGCTTGGTGTTCATGGGCTTAATTCTGAATGGACTATTTTCTTGACATGTGTATTTTAGCAGTGGAAACATTACTAAAAACAACAAATTTATAGCTTGTCATTCATACAATATTCGCAATCTTTTTCCCATGTACTGGCCACTGTCTTTTCCTTTGCAGTCCAACATTCCAACACTTTTGTGTCACAGGGTATATGGGAAGGTAGTGTCCTGCTTCTTGCTCCGCAAGTGGACTAAGACATCACCTCCCATCAGAATCACAGTGAGGTGTGACCCCACAGAGGGCTGGTCGGGGCTGATCTGTGGCAGCAGCATTGGCTGCATTCTGCCAGAATGTCCCCCTAAAGCATTTGTGGTGGTACTGACAGAGCCCAGCTGTCTACTGCATGTACTACTTGCTTCCGGGCTCCGACATGGCCTTGGAGTCTATTCCCTAAGTCTCTGAGTGGTATGGGAGCTCCTGACAGACTTCCAAATCATGTCCCTTCTCTTGAGATGGCTACAGTCATTTTCTCTAGGGCAGGATGCTTCCATATCCTGGAAGAAACAAGGATATCCCACTGTATTTTCTTTCCTGGTACCAGGAATTGAACTCAGGGCTTCAAGCTTCCCAGGTAGGCAATGCACTGTTGAACTACATCGCCGGCTGAAGCAAGGCAACCTGACCAGAGCTGGAAATCTTGTCTAGCAGCTTTGGGCAAAGTTCTTATTCTCTCTGGATTTAATTTTTTTTTTTTTTTTGGTACTGGGGATTGAACTCAGGATCTTGCGCGCAAGCGCTTATACTACTGAGCTCTCTCCCCAGCCCTGAATTTAATTTTTTCATCTTTCTTTTTTATTTATAGTTTAACTGATACATAAAAATATGAAAATTGTACACATTAATCGAGTACAATGTAATGAATGTTTCAGTACATATATACATTGTATATTACTTACATCAGGTTAAAAATATCTACATTGGGCCAGTCAGATGGCTCAGTGGATTAAAGTGTCTGTTGAAGCAGATGCAGGGCCTGGGGGTTCAATCTCCAGTGTGCCATGCTGGCCCCACCTCGGGGCATGGTGGTACATGCCTGTAATCCCAGCTCTTGGGAGGCTGAAAACAGGAGGATCACTACGAATATAGTCTGTATAATGAGACCCTGTAGACCTTATACTAAGTACAGTAAAAAAAAATAAATAAATAAAAATAAACTCATTTTTTCAAGGTGGGAACTTTCAAAAATCCTTTCTTTTAGCTTTTTAAAAATTAATTAATTAATTTTTGCAGAACCCGTGTTTGAACTAAGGCCCTTGTGCTTGCCAGGGAAGTGCTTATTCCACTGAACCATCTCCCCAGCCCCTAAATTTTTTTTTTTTTTTTTTTTTACAGGGTCTCATTTGGTAGTCCAGGCTGGCTTCAAACTCATAACAATCCTGCCTTAGCCTCCTGAGTACTAGGATTACAGGCATGTATCACCGTACCTGGCGGCCATAGCCTTTTGAAAAGTGTAGCACGTTATGATTCTTCTTCTCTAAATGGGAGCATAATACACTCCCAAGATGGAATGTATTCTCAAAAAAATCAGACATAGTATGTAAAAGATGTTTTAGCTTTTTTTTTTTTTTTTGGTGCTGAGAATTGAACCCAGGGCCTCATATATGTAATTATATCCCAACTCAAAAGATATTTTAGATAAGCCAAAGTACACCCTTAAAGACTTGTTCTGACCAATCCTTCATAAAAGTACATATTACAAACCAGGCATGAGGCACATTCCTAGAATTCCAGCACTTCAAGAGGCTGAGGCAGGAGGTTTGCAAGCTTGAGCCAAGTGTGGGCATCCTAACCAGACCTATCTTTAAAAGTATCCCATCATGAAGGCTCTGGTTCAATCCCCAGCACCACCCAAACAACATCAGCTAAACCACAATACAATGAGACAAACTATTTTATAGATGTCCTGAATAAGAACTATTTTGAAGCTTCTCATTTTAATAGTTTATCTCTGAGCTCAGTGCTTTGCTCACCCTTTCAAAACTAAAACCTAGGAAAAGTTAGTAAGTGACACTATAGAGAGACTTCAAAGCTTGAAACTGGGTATATGTTAGGAGTGATCTGTCCCACACATCACCCCCTGTCTGTATAGGGAAAGACTGATATTCACCAGAACAATGTCCATTTGAAATTAAGTTGTAAACATGGCAAGAACATTAAAATCCTACATTTGGAAAAAGACATCATATCAGACTTTATCAGTGTCTAATGGAGAATGGATCTAATGGATCAGGAGAAAATACTTGTTTTATTGTTGTTGTTTTGCTTTATGGTGCTGAAACCAAAACCTTAACTCAGCCTATATCTGAGCTCTATATCTCAGCCCTATTTATTTATTTATTTGTGGAACTGGGGATTGAACTCAAACCCTTGTGCTTGCCAGGGAAGTGCTTATTCCACTGAGCCATCTCCCAGCCCCCTCTTTTTTATTTTTTGAGACAGAGTCCTCTTAAGTCACTAAGTTGCCCATGTGGGGCTTAAACTTGTGATCCTCCTGTGTCATTCTCCCAGAGTGCTGGCTTACAGGCATGTAGCACCATGTTTAGCTGCTTGTTTGTTTTTAAAGAAATAAATCATCTGGTAATAATATTTTAAAATTTTTAACTTGAGGAACCAAATATCTGCAACAATATGGTAGAAATTAATTTCATCTATCACATGAAATGATTCAACTTTATTGACCATTAAAAGGTATGTATTTATAATCTTCATTGCCAGATACATTATACATTGACCCATAACTGTGTTTGCCAGCAAAGTAAGACAACTTTTATTTTGAAGTTTCCTTCCTAGAGGAATCCACATTTCTTCTAGTTCTGGAGTATTTTTAATTTAAAAATGACCAGTTAATTCTCTCAGTGTCTCCCCATTTTTATTTTATTTTATTTATTTTTATTTTTTGCAGAACCAGGGATTGAACTCAGGCCCTTGCGCTTGCCAGGGAAGCGCTTATTCCACTGAGCCATCTCTCCGGCCCCAATCTCCCCATTTTTAAATAAAAGCAAAGAACTATTGTAGAATCAGAAAGGGCTATTGAATTTTAGCTTTACTTTATTTCCTACTCTCAGTATCAGTTTTCTCACCTGTGAAATAGAAACAGTTAAAAATGACCGTGGGACTGAGGTGATAAATAAAATGAAAGTGCTCTGGAAATAAGATTTTTTTAAATCAAGTTCTAAAAAAACACCTTTGGGACTTTATGTAGAACATTAGAAAAGACAGCCAGTTTAATGGATACTATCTTCCTTCCTTGCTTTTTTTTTTTTTTTTTGGCAGAACCAGGGATTGAACTCAGGCCCTTGTGCTTGCCAGGGAAGCACTTATTCTACTGAACCATCTCCTCGGCCCCTCTTTCTTTCTTTTTTAATTTTTTTTGTATTTTAGGACAGGGTGTACAGGGTCTACATGGTTTCACTGTGTAGACTGGACTCATAGTGATCCTTACAGCCTCCCAAGTGCTGGGATTACAATCACCATCTCAGTGCGTCCCGTGGGTGGGGCAGGCACGGCAGGCCGGGGGATCGAACTCCTGGCCCCTGTATCTGCCTAAATAGGTGCTTTAATCCACTGAGCTCTCTGGATGGCCCTGATACTATCTACTTTAAATCAGTACTCAAGTTGGAAACTAGACATTTCATGATAAAAGCAGAAGGGTTTATATTGTCTGAATAGACACTTACTTGAATTGTTCTCTAGACCTAGTTACTTTTGATCACATGATGCCTCAAAAAAGCCCATAAAACACTATGCTTATAGCAGAACAGGTCAGTAAGATTTTGTTGGATCACTTTGAAAACTCAAGGCATACGGAATGACTTGACCTATGGAATGGGGGACTGTTATTTACATTAAGAAAGTAATCCAGGTTTTTTTTCCCCCTATCTCAATGGGTGTATATCATGAATATGAAAAATTTATGGTTAAACTAGGTCAATTCTGGGAAGCTTACAATTTCACTCACTGGTTACTGGAACATACAGTGGCAAAAAGCAGATCACTGCAGGGAAGAGGTGCAATTCTCATACTCAGTAATTCAGGCTTGCTTACTTAGTAGATTCAATTTTCCCTTTATATCACCACTTTTTATAACAAAAGAGAAATATTGAATATTGAAAAGAAATACTAAATATATCTACTTATTATAAAAGTCAAGTCGGAGAAATCAATACATTTAGCATTTTATGAAAGGATTAGAAGGGCCGGCCAAATAGCTCAGTGGATTAAAGGATCTGCAAGCAGGTGCAGGCACCGGGAGTTCGATCCCCAAGCCTGCCGTGCTGGCCCCGCCCCTGGGGTGCACTGAGAAGGCGATTGAGACTGGGCATGGTGGTGCACACTTATAATCCCAGCACTTGGGAGGCTGTGAACAGGAGAATCACTACAAGTCCGATCTAGTAGTGAGACCCTGAGCACCCTACAGACCCTTCCATTAAAAAAAAAAAAAGAAAAAAGGGTTAGAAGAGAATTCCTGCAAGGCTCTTAAAGCTAAAATTCAAGGTAAAAAACCATCATTAGTCAATTTTTATTGAGGCAAAGATATGACTGGGGCTGGAGTAGACTCTGCAAAGACAACAACCCAACCTCTAGGTAGGAAATTAGAGTGAAATTAAAACTCAAAGAAAAAAAAAATGCTCAGGGGTAATTTCATTTGTATTTTCCTACTTCTTTTTTTACATCTTTGTTTTTATTTTTATTTATTTATTTTAATGTATTTAGTACAGGGTCTCACCACACATATCTGAATTGTAGCGATCCTGTTTTCAGCATCCCAAGCACTGGATTACAGGCACGTGCCACCATGCCCAGTCTTGTATTTTCCTATTTCTAATCAGTTTAGCCAGTGACTGTTAGGGATCTAGCACCATGTGATTCTGCCCAAGAAATGACTGCACAAAGCTATTTGAAAAATAAATGTTTCTTGTACAGCAATTAACCACTAAGAAGAATATATGCAGTGTATTATTTGTTGAAACTGTACTTCCAATTTGATTTGAAACTGTCTCATTGCTGTTTATCAATAAAACTTTGAAAAAAAAAAAAAGAAAAATAAATGTGTCTGAGTATTTTCTACCCATCTACCAAAAAAACCCCCAAAACAAAAAAAAGCCATGTGTGCTGCTTCCATTTGTGTAGCTCTTCAAAGTACTCACATGATTGAGAAATTTGCTGTCTCGAGTGGCCCAGCCAATCTGCATGACGCCTGAAGTGACTACTGTCACTTCATAGTACCACACTCCAGAATCCACACAAAAGGTGCAACGAACACTTTCAAAAGAGGAAGCATCACAGCGAGCCTGGCAAATCAGAGAATATGATAACCACCATCAGTGCTTGAAAACCATCAAAGTGACTGACTACTAGGAAAACTGAACATAATTTTCTTTATTAAAGGTTTTGGTGAATTATTGTCTTCTCTGTCCAACCTTAGTCACAAAAAGCATAAAACTGAATAAAGTATATAATTTAATTTCCAGGGAGTTTATAGCCATTGTTCAAAGAGTTCTTTAATTCTGAAATTTCTATTCCTCCTACTATGTCCTGTATATAAGCAGCTCTTAAATCAGCACAACTCAACATGCAGAGAAAAAGGGAAAGTCAAGGGCTGGTGAGATGGCTCAGTGGTCTAAAGCACCTACTTAGAACAAACTAAGCTAAGCAAAGCACAGGGACCGCGGTTCAATCCCCCAGCACCACATACCAGCCAGCCCCGCCCTCTGGTGGGCTGAGCTGGCCACACACACAAAATAAATGAATAAATAAATAATAAAAAAAAAAGAAAGAAAGAAAAGAAAAAGGGAAAGTCCTGTCTTGATATGGCTGGCTAAGCAGGCATTTAAAAATGGAGCTATCTCCTTTTGAAACATTTGGCTGTGTACCTTTAGTTGAATAAAATGACAGAGATTGACAACAGCCATATTTAAACTGTCCAGTAAATATCATATTGCTTATAACAGGTATATAATAGACAATGTCCCAAATACTCTATTCTACCACTTCTATTCTAACCACTCTTCAAGTAGGAAATAAATCACCTGTTCTGCAAGACATTGCTTTTGATCAGAAGTAGTTCTTGAAAATGAAAATGTTTTACCCTCTAAAAGGTCCACGTATGGAAGTTTTACCTCCAAGCCATGAGGTGAGATCTTCAGGTACTCGCTGACATCGTTGCTATTCAGCATAGCCCTGATGCTACTCAAGTCCACTTTCTCGTAGGTCAGCTGTCTACCTTCTTTTAAAACTGCAAAAGAAAACATGGTCCTATTTCTAAGGCAAGTTGTAGAGGAAAAAAGAAAAGCTATTGCTATCTCTGGCTGCCATCCTAATCAAGGAACGAGACTAGGTGGGGAGGCTTAGAACCCTAACTTTGCTGTTCTACTATCACATGAAAGCTGATCAAGCACATGCCAGGAAAGGTAGCAGCCTGAGATTGATCCCTCCATTCCTGGTACCTATTGATTTACATGAAACATTAGCTAGCACTATATAGGTTATACCTGCAGTGTTGGGGTGATGATGGGGGTCACATGTTCAATTGTGCTACTCATGAAGGGGAAGGGAAGATACAGTAGCACAGTTTTTGTTCTAGTAGCCCTTGAAGGGGGAAAAGAGAAAAAACCAGAAACAAGCCTCACAGTGTAGGTACGGTATGGCTGGAGCAAAGTTGAGGGAACTGGCCTAGAGGTGGGAGTCAGCAGGACTTGTCTGTGGGGTGGTCAAGGGACAATTATATTGTAAAGAGAGGGTTAGACAGTGCCATATGATTAAAGGCCTTGACATAGCAGCAAAGGGCATTAGTGAAGGTTTTTGAAAGAATGTTTTGAAAGTAGAATGCTGGAGGGGCCGGGGAGATGGCTCAATGGAATAAGCGCTTCCCTAATAAGTGCAAAGGCCTGAGTGTTCAATCCCCGGTTCCGCCAAAAAAAAAAAAAAAAAAAAAGAAAAGAAAGTAGAATGCTGGAATTAGAAGCATACCTTGTAATTTTTGAGTCTCTAGTTACTTTTCTACTACAGTATATGTACCTAATCTAATAGTATAGGACCCTATAAAGAAGAACTCATGCTCTTTCTTTGCAAAGGAAAGCCAGTAAGCCTACTGAGGAAATGGGTTTGGAAATGAAAAGACTTATTTATCGATCTACTTATTTATTTATTTATTTATTTGGAACAGGGAATCAAACTCAGGACTTCATGCTTGCCAGGCAGGTTCCATGCTACTAAGCTATACTTCCCACTATTTTGTTTTAAAGGAGCACTCTGATGTTTTTTAAGTATCATGTGAAGGGATTCTTCTGTTCACCTTCCATTACATTAGTTGTATAGCAGCAATTTTCTCAATAGAACCATTCACAAAAATCACAACAAACTGAATTATACATAGGAGAACACAAGGCAAAAACTGAGAATATTATGTACTGCATATAGTATTAGAGTATCTTATTAGATTATAACTGTGGGAAATAAATCTGATTTATATAATTAAAAAAACTAAATCTAGAAACTCTTGACAATCAGTATTTCAGTTACCAGATTCCTCATCCTTTAAATGAATAGGCAGTTTATCAGTTTTCCAGTTATATTTATTCATTCATTTTAGTACATATTTGTTATATTGATCACATTCATCATAGGGAATTTATACCTGTAAATAATATATCTTGATTCTTTTTTTTTCCATTGTCCTCCCTTCCTGTCAACCATTCTTCTCCCCATTTACAAATGCTTTGTTTTCATTCTCACCTTCTAGTCTCCTTTTTCCCTTTTTCTTTCCTTCCCTTCCCATTCCCCCTTCTCTTGTTCTCCTAGAAAAGATATTTTAATATAGGACAACTACCACTTACAGAGATTGTCTAAGCTCCACTGGGCACAGAAACCAACTTGACGTTTCAAATAATCAGGCTCATCAGCCCAGGACTCCAATGTGACAAGCCGGTCACTAATACTGGATTCAGAGATAGTCAATTTATTTTCACCTGTTTGGAAGATGAAATCCTTAAATTAACAAGGAAAATGTAGGATGACTTGCTGAACAGGTTAGTAGTAGTAAATGAGGAATAAAAAGAGGGAGTTAGAGAACTTGGAGACCACAATGGACTTCACTGAAGTTTCTAGGAATGACATGACTTTAACTATTCTCTGTAACTGTGGTCGCTAAGTTCAGACTCTTAGGCAAGGAAATGCTTGTCTTTGTCCCTGTTATTCTTCACTGGCTCTGAAATGTCTACCTACACAAAAACAGAAGGTATGCACATTTGATGTAGTTCAAAGTGCAGGCTCACATAGTAAGAAAAATAAAGATTTTTTAACAACCAATAGAGAAGAGATCCTTAGTGCAAGAAGTCACTATACCTACTTGTTTGTGCAAACTTTTCCAGTGCGATAAGTGCAAAGAGCATGACTGTGGGGTGGGACTGTAATTTCTGAAAGACAACAAAAGATTAAGAAAATATCATTCCCGCTCTGGAGGTAGCATAAGTTATCAATTTCACTTTATTATACAAAGTGCACTGAATTTTGTGGGGCGTAGTAAAAAAAATTACACTCTCTCAAGTCTTTAATTGTCTATTTAGTTAACATCAGTAATGAAGAACCAAGATAGTCTGTTTTTCTTAAAGTCACTGAATTAGTTTAATGATATGAAAATTTAACAGTATCTTGTAAAATGTATTGTTATTTTATTTAGTAACATTTACTTTAGGACTCTGTTAAAGTAATATTGATTTTTATGTTCATTTAAACCAACCATACAAACTAGAATTGTAGCAATAGGACTTTTTATTCAAAACCTCAAAAGGAAATAGTCAATACAACAAACCAGAAGTATAATGAAATTAACAACTACTGCCTTGGCCTTTAATATAGTCGTGAAAAGAATTCTACAAATGGTACTGATAATAGGGGAAAGAGCAACATTTGTGTTCACATCACACAAGGTCCGCTTAAAGACCTACCATTTAATACCACATCTGCTCCCAGCCATGCTTTCCCACACTTGTGCCCTAGAACCTCAGAGAGCATCACTCACTTTCCTGTAACCTGTCTACAAGGCAAAGCTCATACACAACCACCATCCTCCCCTGCTGCAAAGTCTCTTCAACATCAACACTGTTTCTTCCATGCCCATTTTCACTCCCTCTTTTCCAGTCCTGAATTCTTCACCTGCCTTCTCAGTCTATGTCCTACTACCTCTGAACACAACCTACCATGATCAGACAATGCTGTTTCTGGACTTCTACCTGTGGTATTCCCACAGTCAAGAAACCCATGGAGGGGGCCGGGAAGATAGCACAGTAGAGTAAGTGCCTGCCTGGCAAGCACAAGCGCCTGAGTTCAATCCCTGGTTTCGCAAAAACAAAAAACAAAAAACAAAAAACAAATCCATGGAGTCCTCCATTAGGCACAATGAGATCCTAACCTGTGGCATGCCTCAGCAGAGGTGTCCCCTTCATCAAGAAGGCTGTCTCTCGTGACTTCTCCAGCCCTCACACCTACACCACCCCCATTTAGCCTCCTCTGAACTCTTAAAGTACTTAGTCTAGAGGAAGATATTGTGCCTTTGATCACATCCTGTCAAAAATAGACTCTAAATACCTTGTCTGAGAGTTTTGTTTCTTCAACTAACCAGTGAACTACTTGAAGGCAAAGGAGGACTGTTTAATTATTTTCTGTATCTGAATGGTGCTCACTCAGAGAAGTATAACTGTAATCACATATTGTGGCAGCATCAGTCTTTCAGATAGTTTAGACCAGTCAAGATCGTAGTCCAGTCCTGCAAGAGATCTGAAAGCACAGCCTCAGCAAAGTGCAAGCTTCACAGATGATATATCATATACTCCAAGGACGACAGTTGTAAGAGCAGTAGCATAGCAGCGAGGGGGCGGGGAGGTAGGAGCAGAGATTTATGTACACTGAGAACCTGACCCAATGTTGGGCTGCCATGTAACTTTGTTTCCACTATGCAGTTCCCTATTACCATTTGGTAGACTCAAAGGACACACAAAAAAAGTCAATCGCAGCAGCTATCCTATGACTAATGTTAAAACAAGACCAACTCAGCTGTTTTTGCTTGTAATAAGTTCCTAGCTTAAAAAAAAAAAAAAAAAATAGGAGGGGATAAACACTCAGGAAACACCTGCAAGTAAAATCTACAACTGATTCCATTCTCTGTGCCAGGGCCTATGCTGGCAATTTGAGAAAAAACGCACAGCTCTGAATGACTAAGAATAACAAGCTGTGATATCTCACTTACCAGACACTGCAGCAAATATTCCAGTATTCCTGGGCTAAGTAAACCTATACTTGCAGGACCTAGAAAAATATAACAAATGCTGAGTGTAATTAAAATTGCCAAACTATTTTAGATGGGCAATAATGACAATCAAACTGTTTGGGTAGCACTCTGTACGCTTACAAAGTACCTCACACATTACTTCACTTAAGCCTGCTCTGAGGCTGGGACCAGGACCATCCCACCTCACAGCTGAGCAGCTGGGCCATACAGAGAAATAATTAACTCCACGGCATGTGGGAAGCACAAGGTAGAGCCTGAACACATGTATTCTGACTTGTGATCTGTTGTTTTCTGTTTTAGTTGTACTGGGGATCAAACTTGGAACCTTGTGCTTGCCAGGCAGAAACTTATGCTCAGTGCCTTATCCCCAGCCCCTAACCTATTGTTTCTTCTACTAAGTATGAAGTAACTAATTTAACACTTCACATATACCTTGCTGTGAACATTCTTAAAATTGCCAGTAATCATAAATAAGTCAAATAGTTGTGTTTCAATCTAGTTTCTTTTCATCTCATGTCTTCAATGTTTAATTCAACTTTATAAAGTGTATGCTCATTATTATATATGTAGATATATACATATTGCTTGTACATTAAATTCAGCTTTTCCCTTATTCTTAGTTTTAAAGCAAAGGAATGTTAAGATTTCTTTCAAATTTTTCTGAAAATTCACAAAACTAAATGAGACTGTATTTAATTCTGTCCTCTAAGTAAATTTCTTCCAGTTAGCTCGTACCCTTCTTTCTTTCTGCTACAGCATGTTTGAGCAAACACGTGCAATGCAAACTATCCCTTAACATAAAAAAACCTGGATCTTCCTCTGTGGTATTTCTGTGTATTACCTGCTAATTTCTCAGCCAGGCAGCCTAAGACAGCAGATGTGTTCCTGTGTTTGGCAGGATGACCTGAGTCCTGGCAAGCTACTTCTCCATTTAAATTCAGTATTTCAGTCAGTTTCTGGAGTGCATCCTAAAAGCAAAAATACAAGTGGAACTGGCACATACACTTCTTGGGATGTTTTTCCAAGAGAATTCTTTAAAACAAAGCTATATGCAAGCGTTACACATACTCAGAGTGACCATATAAAAATTGTACAATGTACCCCCTCAGTGATATAATTATTGTGGGAAATACTTTTAACCAGAAATTTTTTCACATGAACTGTGAGATCACATTTTCATTCAATTATAAAGGTTATACCAGTTATACAATACATGCTTTTTTTTTAGTGCCACTAATGATTGTATCTAGGGCCTCCCGCATGTTAAGCTTCAAGCACTGTACCATCAAGTTAGTCCTTTTTTATTTTTTATTTTTTTGAGATAGAGTCCAGCAAAATTGGCAAAACTGGTCACCTCCATTTCCCAAGTAGCTGAATTACAGTGTACAACATGATGCCTGGCTTGCTGTATACTCTTAAAACATTAAGCAGATTAAACTAAATGTCAATATGCTTGATAACATTAGAGTCTAGTGATACGGAAGTTAAAAGTTACTTTTTTTAAAAGTTACTTTTTAAAAATAAATGTTATTAAGCAGGAATAATCTAATCAAAGTATTCCAGGCAAATTAAAAGGAAAAGCCTAGGGAAAAATCAACTCATTCATGACTAAGCTGAAGACTTCCTTCTTCCCACCATGTTTCTCTAGGGACCCAAATAAAAGACAAACAAATGATGTAAGAATCCAAATTTTAAAAAATATATGGACTAAGGAATGAAAGTTTGATTATTTTTTATTCTAAGTAAGGAATACTCACAAACATACTATACCCTAAAAGACTCAGAAGTGCTTTTTAATACACTGCTTTTTTCTCTTTAATAGAAAATATTTGTTATAAGGAAACTGAACAGAGAAAGATAAGAAAATCAGTTCAGCAGTTGAATAATCTATACTGGTTTCCAAATAAAGATTGTTATTTGGGAATGAATGCTTCTAATTTTAACATTTAAAAAATATTAAACTAAAACCTTATGCTGTAGATACAGTATCTTATAAAAAATTTACACAATGAAATCAATACTGCATAAAACACCTCAAATGTATAAAAAGGAAATGCATTACATCAGATGTTGTTTGTGGTACATCCTGTGCATAAGCACAGATGACAGTTTCATAGAAGATTAGTATTAACTTACTTTAGTGGGCAATGGACATTCATCTAGTAACAATGTTATAACAGCTGGTCCCAATGGGTCTTCCAACGGAATAACTCTAATTAAAGACTGGACAACGTCCAACCATCCTTCATCTAAGAGCAAATCAAGAAGATTATATAATGGAGTCACTATTTTGAAAATGTGAAAATACAGTAAATTTATAGAGCCACACAGGAGGATGTTACATGAACATAGACACATTTTTGCTCTTCATCCTATATTTGAGAAGCTAATATTTGGCACAGCATTGCTAGTTGTCATAGTGGAGTCAAAAATCCTGTTACAAGGACCTTGGGATTAAGGGGCATCTTCATTTGAAGAAAATTTAAGCTATGGTTTGTATCCTCAAGTCATGATTAAAAGTTTTAAATATTTACTATAAACGAATTAACTGAGAAAATGAAGTATACTCAGCAGTTGGCTCTATTTTCAGATGACAGGAAATTGAGAGAGAAGAAATGATCCCTTCTAGGATAGTTATAGTCAAAGATCTGTCAATATTAAAAAAAATTCCCCCTAGAACTTTAAATGATATAAAACCATCACTAAGACATGTAGCTAAACATTCAGGGTACAATATATAACATCCATTACATTTTTATAGGGTAATTTCCATAAACCAAGGGCTTTTTCCTTTGTTATGTATTCTAAGTATTTTTGAAATCTTTTGTCATTAAAAAAGTGGTCACATTTCATTATTATTAATTTATTAGGAACTATTAGAAACGAACTTTAAAAATACCTGTTTCTGCCATTTCATGTAATGTAATCATTGAATAGGGAGGTTCCTGATCACTGAAAAATAAATATTCAAGACATTAAACTTGAAGAAATAATAATGATAATTCCATAATAAAAATTTCAACTGCAAATGTGAAGATAGAAAGGGAATGAATAAATGAACACAGTGAATGGAAGGAAAGAGATGGAAGCATCAATCAGAGCCACAATTTGTAAGGACAAATTTATACCATGTATGCTTATTTCCACAGTCACAGCCCATGATGGTTCACAAACAAAACGGGCAGGTGGGCTCTCACATGGGTCACTATGTGGATTGAGGTAAAAACACAGGACTAAAACTGGAGACAAGAGTTGATTCTGAGCTTTACATCCAACACTGAGATGAGGCAGGAAGGTCAATCTCATCTTTCTCATACATACCTCAACGAAATGACAGGGTGAAAGATGGCAATCCCAACTAATGACTTATAGAAGCTAGGGCCTACACAAACATCTTCATTTTAAGGTTTTCTTCTGGGAAACAGCACTACATGCTTGAACTTCATAAAATAGTATTAGAAGAAAAAGAAACCAAATTTACTCAAGGAACTATTTAATATTCTGGACACTGCTCTAAAATTGCATTATATACCTTAATTACATGGTCTTTCAAGCTGGGATCTCAGAAATCCTCAGGAAGTGCTTCAAAGGAACTTCAATACTGAAATATTGTCTATCAAACAATGATAATTCTAATTGCTTGAGGACTAACCATTTATTTGTTTACATATTTTGGATCTGTTTTCTGTTGTGAAAAAAAAGCTGTAAAGACTAGTCTTAAATCATTTAATCCTCAAAATAACTGTGATATGGGCATTAGTATGTTCATTTCAAGTACTTACTACATGCTGGCTGTCAGACATATCCTTTGTTCTTTCATAATAAGGGGAAATTACTATCTAAAAAAAGAATTTTTAAAAACAATAAAATTGGCTGAGGCAAAAATTTGTGGAGAACAATGTGGCAATAATGAAATTAAGTATGCAATCAATTCTAGAGACACTTTTACATAGATCCATAAACTGATGCATGTTTTTGCATATTTTGCATGTTTATCGGCAGAAACAAAAGTCTGGCAGGAACTTAAATGACCATCACCAGATGAAATTAACAAAATAGAATACTTTCAAACACACAAAAGAATAGTAGTTGTAGATTTACACATAACAATACAGGTCTTGACTATACTGTTATGAGACACCAAAAGCAAAGAGGTTTATAAAACTAAATTAGTTATGTAAATATAAAAATCACATACAAAACACTGTTCTTTGATATATAAAGAAACAAATGATAGGATAATTGGAAGAGTCATCTTATGTTTTTGTTTTTGACACAGGCTCTTGCTATGTTGCTCAGGTTGAGCTTGCTCTCCTGAACTCAAGTCATCCTTTCCGTTCAACCTCTCAAGTAACTAACTTCACAAGAATGGTTATATTTGGAGGAGGATGGTCAGAAGGCGAGTGAGATTAGAGAATAAGAGAAAAATAATACAATACAAAAAAATTTGGCAAACAGGAACAGGAAGAAATAGGAGTACTTTTGTTCTATGCAGAAATACTTAATGTAGAGGGCCAGCCACATACCTCAGCAGACTAAAGTGCCTGCTTAGGCAGAGCGCACTGGCCGGGGTTTGATCCTGAGGTGTGCTGAGACAGTGACTGGGACTGGGTGTGGTGGTGCACCTGTAATCCCAGCGCTTGGGAGGCTGCTAAAAACAGGAGGATCACTACAAGTCCCATCTACATAGTGAGACTCTGTAGACACTGCACTAAATACATGAAAAAAAAAAGAAAAAAGAAAGAAGTACTTAATGTATATACACACCCCTTTACATTCAGAGAACAAGATAATGGGCTGGGGAGGTAGCTCAGTAGAATAAGCGCTTGCCTGGCAATCACAGGGTCCTGAGTTCAATCCCCAGTAACATAAAAACAAAACAAAACAAAAAACCACGGAGAACAAGATAAGGCACCCTATGGATCAGAAGTGGAGGAGGGATTTCTGGTCGGAGGCAGAAACTTATCAGCGGGGGGTGGAAGGGCGGTGGTGGCATTGAACTGTGGTCTGGCACAGAACAGCGGTAACCAGAAGATGTACTATATTCTTTTAAGGCAAAGAACCCAAAGCCCTACCTACAGGATGGTTGAGATGCACTAATGAAGCTGGAGTAGGGTCCCCTCTCAATAAATGGAGCAAAGTGAGCTATAGCTGGTATAAAGGCCAAGTCTCCAATGACAGAAAAAGGCAAAGAAAGCTATACAGCAGGACCAGGGTTTCTTATAGTAGGTCAACACTTCAATTTCAGATTTATAGGAGGAGGAGAGAAACACCAGCCCCCAGGGAGTACACATAACATACAGATATAAACATGGCGAGGAAGAAACTTCTATCATGAGCAATCTACAGGGCTGGGGATGTAAGCTAATGGGAAAATATTGGCCTAGGTACACAGGGTTCAAACTGCAACAACAACAACAACAACAACAACAACAACAAAGAATCTGCGTATTAATTTTCAAAGCACATAAGAATAACAAAACATTAAGACTGAGTCATTACCAAAAATAGGTAAATAATTGAACTTCAAAACAACTTTTTTGAGAATTTTGCTACAGAGCCTAGGTTGGCCTTGAACCCTAGGCTATCCTCCTGCCTCAGCCTCTTGAGTACTGATATTACAGACACGTAATATCATCTTACATGCTCAGTTAGATGATTTTAAAATAAGTGTTATGTACAGGAATAACTATAAGGGGCATATTACATGAAAAACAAAACCAAAAAAGGTTTTATGAATTAAAAAGAAAAATTAGAAATTCTAGAAGTGAAATAGTTACTGAAATAAGTATCTCAAGGGATAGTATAACTCTGGATACACCATAAAGTGAAATTTAATGAATTAGAAAAGTAGTGAGGGATTGACCCAGAGCACCAGAAGCAACATTTGCAGACAAAATGACAGAGAAACTTCTAGAAGTGAGAACATGATTTTAGACTGAAAGTTCACGGGATTAAGATTAGACAATCACAACAGAAAAATATGAACAAAAAAAAATCTTGTTTAGATGAGAGGAAAAGAAAGCTAGGTATAGCGATGTGGTGTAAATTGACAATTTAATACAAAACAAAGTCACGCTAACCTAGAAACTGACACCAGGGCTGGAGAGATGGCTCAGTGGTCTAAAGCACCTACTTGAAACAAGCTTGGCAAAGCACAGGGACCACGGTTCGATCCCCAGCACCACATGCCAGCCAGCCCCGCCCCCTGGTGGGCTGAGCTGGCCACACACACACACACAATAAATAAATGTAATAAATAAAAATAAATAAATATTAAAAAAAAAAAAAAAAAAAAGAAAAAAGAAACCGACACCATCCAATTCTCTATAGCAGTGGTGGTGATGTCACCAGGGCCCTCTCTGTTGGCACACAATCAGCCCCAGCAGTTGAGTATTGGATAACAGCTATTTTTTCTAAACTAAAACTCAATATTCAGGTTTAACTGAGGTTTGGCACTGCACTCAGTGGGTTTTAGGTTGTAGTCTAGGCACTGATCTCTAAAAGGTTTGCCTTCACTGCTGTATCGTGACTCTCTTCATTGTGGCAATGGGTGCGCTGCCCCTACTCATAATCCATGCTGCTCTTCCCTTAGCATTGGCAACAGAGAGAAGATAACATGTTCTTTCATGTTTCATTTTTAACAGTCCTATAACTTTATAGGTTATAAAATTCTAACACCTTTAAAAAAAACCAAGCATACATCTCCAACAGTTGTGTGGTACTGAGAATTGAATTCAGGGTCTCATGCATAGGAAGCATGCTCTCTTATGCTAACTTATATCCCTAGCCATTTTATTATTTTATTCAATCAGGACAAGGTCTTGTTATATTGCTTACACTGGCTTTGAACGTGAGATTACCTTGCCATGGCTTACTGAGTATTTAGGATTACATGTATGTGCCACCAGGCCTGGCCACATCTTGGTTTGTAGCAAATAGGAAAGACAGCATGTGTCTTTCCTATTTGCTACATATAAGCCTTACTTTTCTCTTTAGTCAAAAGAATTATACCTTGTGTCAGTAAAAACAGGCATATGGTAAAAGCTACTTTGTTATTCAAAGGCAAATCAACTATTTCATATAAGTGAATTATTCTTTTATCAACAAGGTCATTTATAATTTGCAAAATTTATTGGAGCTTAGAAATAAGGTCCTTGGGCTGGAGAGATGGCTCAGTGGTCTAAAGCACCTACTTGGAACAAGCTTGGCAAGGCATCAGGGACCGCGGTTCAATCCCCCAGCACCAC